TTTTTTTTATAAGCACTTATACTAGTTAACATACAACCCTTGGAACAAATAAAAAAATACTGGTAATAAAATGTTGTGTGGCAAGTATACATTTTATGTAACATTGATTAAAAAGTTAAATGAGATTATACTTTTGTAATAAAATGTTTATGATTGCATTACAGTAATCTGTTAATTCTAGTGGTTCAGTATTTTGTAATTTCTTGTTTAAATGTGAAACAGCTATTTTCCATAGCTTGTCTTTATTAAAATCAAAACAAGAGAGAAAGTAGAACATTTTTTCTCACCAAAAGCCATTGATTTGTAATGGGATCAATTGTCTATACAAAAAGAGGTGTTATAAGTTTACAATTAAGTGGCATCAAACTTCTTTTTTTTTGTTCAATTATTTTGGCTGTATGAGAAGTGACTTTATTAATAGTTTTGGGATATACATAGGGGTAGTTTTATTATACTATTTATTTATACTTCTATTCTTACAGTGTCTAATTTACCTTGCAATAAATACTTTATTATTAAAATTTGTTATAAAGATAATTCTCGAATATATTAACCTTGAAATTAAGTCTTATTTTTTAATAGATCCTTATTAGATAATTTACTAGATAACATCACTATAAGCAACCATTTATTTATATTTAAAATGGTTATTTCAATATCTTTAACAACATAGGATCCAGTTAAGGATGATATTTATGAAATAAGTTCAATATGCAATAATTAAGTAAGTGGCATAAGTTAAACATATGGCCATCATGCCATGAAAGCATCAGTAATATTGCCAAGAAACACATACAGTACCAGTAATATTGAATGGTTTTAATAACCAAATTGAGGGGGGCTTACAATCTAAACTAAGGTAGAATAAAACATGAACATTTTTAATCTATATTAAAATCAGTTTGGAAATTTATCATTATCATCCATGATTAGATTGTTTGAACAAAAAGTAACAATGGTAGATTTAATAGGCAAAGTTGTAAATAAAATATTAAATAAACTCACCAATCGTGGGAATAGTTGTAACAATTTCGCCTAATTTGAGTTTGTATAGGATTGTGGTTTTACCAGCCGCATCCAATCCAACCATCAGTATTCTCATTTCCTTTTTGCCAAATAGGCCTTTAAATAAATTCGCAAACATATTCCCCATTTTGAAGCTTTTTGAATAGTCTGAAAAAGTGAAAAACCATTAGAAATTAGAGCTTACTCCTACTGAGTCATCCGTCAACTCTGCACGTTATTTCAATCAATGATAATGACATGGCAGGTCCTTACTAAAATTTGACGTAGAATGTTTTACAACAAAGTTAGTAATAAATTATAAATTAATAAATATATTTAAATAGCAGGACGATGAGGGACGATTAGTTTACACACAGAAGCACTTGTATTGCTTAGCAGGGATAAACTACAATAATAAATTACCAACACCGCTGTTGGTCTTGCTGCGGTCACCACCCTCAGTTTGTAAGGTATACAAAACGTACCTTACTACATATTCAAGGATCTCTAACAACAATAACTTATTATAGCAGTGTACGAAGAATAAACTTACATTTTCAGAAGCAAATTTCAACACAATCAAGAAAAAAAGCTTTATTTCAGTGGATTCTTTACAATTCACTCGATGTCAAAATGGCGGCGAACGTGGAAGTTGATCGTGCCTATGCCACGTATTGGAAAAAAGTGGCCAGTGACAATAAAAGATTAATTTTCCAAATTATACTAATGTGTACATTCCAAGGGATCTATTAGTTCTTCTTTTATTTAAAGTGGACTAATTTTACTTTAAATCTTGAATAATTTTCATATTGTAAAAGGAACGACTTCCCTTTAAAACACAGAATAAACAATTTGCTTTTTACGAATTCAGTAATTTATTAATCAAACCAAAGGCACACTAAAACCTCCCCATAAGACTTAACGCAATAATATGAAATGGAAACAATCGTTAAAACAATTTATACGGAGGCAAAGAAGCAAGTGAGTTTACGTGTCTGGAAAACCCCTTCCCCTCATTTTTCTAGTTTCTGAGTCAGGGATTGCTTAATATTTAATGACTCATCAGAAGCCACGTTGAAACTGTAGACGTGTTTCATAAAAATTGTAAGTAACCACGTTGGCGAACTCGGACACGACACCCATTGCCTTAAACTAATATTTCCATAATCCAGCTTTAAATAATCAGGGATGCTGATTCAAAGGTGATTTGATACCCGACCTATGTAGTTTAAGACGAGCCCACTTTCAGTCCATATTTTGAACGAGCGAGGGATTTATCTGATTTCTATTGAAAGGCTAGTTAAGATTTAGCTAATACCTTTATCTGGTATTAAACATGACTATGGCATTTTGCAGGCAACTATGGCATGCATTCTGGTATATTACAGATGTACAAGAAAGAAAAAAATTGAGCAGAGTAGGACGTCTATCAGAATCACTTCGAAAATCAAGTGACTCTGCGACTCTCTCACGCATAGTAACGCGTCGCCACGCTTACAGTCGATCTGAATCTGCGCATTAAATGTTTTTTTTATGGAAAGGGGGTTAACGAGCAGACCCATCTGCTCGTTAACCCCCTTTCTAGTAAAAAAACATTTTGTTTGACCAAATTAAAGTGGTAATCATTTTCTTTTATTATGAAATAATTTTGGGTACAGTTCGGTTGTACCAAATGAGCATATATAAAAAAGTGTTTCAAAAAAAATGAACGGATTGTACGTAAATATTTTAATATTTTTTTTTTAATATAATATTTTTTTACCGAAACGGCTAGAAAGTGTTGCACACTAAAAAAAGTAGTGGAAAGTGATCCAAAAAACACACTAATAAACAATAGTCTCACTTACAAAGTATTTGGAAGTCTGTAATACCTACCAAATATAATTATTTTTTATTTTCTTTTTTACACATATTTTTTTAAGACAAAACATTTATCTAAAAATAAATTGTGATGAAGAATAGTAAAGAGCACATAGGTATTTTTTTTTTCTTAAAAAAATGGGATTAAATAATTCTTCTCACGACGGCACGGCTTGGTTTTGGACCCTGTACCCTCTTCAAACGATTCGAACTCCGATTTGCATGATTCCTTACGCCTGAACATGCATTTTATGATTATGCCTTAAGAATCTATACGTTTCATCAATTGTGGTACTGATGTGACTCACATAAGGAGACAAGCTCCTAACCTAGTTGAAGTACGAACACGTAATTCTTGAATAGATGGCACCGAAAGTAGTAAGCATTTTATGTTTTAACGTAAATGGGCATTCGAAATAGTATTTACTATTTCGAATGCATAATATATCTAATAAACAATAAGTAATAAATGATATCAGTTATTTTTGATTTGTCAACAGATTGAGATGTGAAGCTCACAGTCAAATATGTCATTCATGTTGGACTGTGGCATTGAACACTCCTAATGTCTCAATCCCAACTGAAGAAACCTCATCAGGTTCTGATGCAGGCCATCAGAGACATGAGACATACGTCTCAGAACCTTAACAATGACTAAGAGCGGGAGAGACGTATAATAAATGTTATTGTACATTGGACTAATCCATTTGAGGAAAGTTTTCTTATTTCACATCAGATAATTATGTTTAAAGTGGTAGTTTCGTTATAAATGAAGTATAAGTGTAACATAATTATACTACTTGTTGCAATACAGTAGCCTGCAGTAGTTTTCTTTAAAAGTAAAGTTCTGTGAACCAATGAACTGGCCTCATTACTGTAAGGTAAGTAAATAGCTAGTTTTTTTTTAAAGTTCAATTAAAATCTCATCATCAATCATTGTGGGCATAGAGCTAATAGTCAAGTTACTCGAAATGTGGAGAGGGTTAATGAAGGTGAAGGTGAAAAACAGAATCCAGAAGAAACCATCCATTTACCAGATTTGAGGAGGGCGGCTGATACCCAATCACAATGTATGAACTAAACTAATTATATAATTGGTTTCTTGGTAACTATCGTCCTATGGCTTGCAAACCATTGCATTACAACAGACAGACACGATGATCTTTTTGATATCCCTAGAGGGCACAGGAGAAAATTCAAAGTTGTCAATATTGGGTCTGGGCAGAAGAGCGATATAATTCAGGGTCCGACTCTATGTTTAATGATCTGCTTGAGCTGCAGAAGAGAAGTGAAGATTTATATCATTCAAACTATTGTTGTCCATTGTCCATGTCCGGTCCATTGTTGTCTACCTATGCAAAACGTGTTAAGGAACTTCCACATAGTAGAGGTATTAGTCTTCAAAGATGCCAAAGGGTCCAAGGGACCTTTGGTATTATTCTCTGAAAACTGCCTCAGTTCAATGCCAATATTAAGTTGGGAGACTATAGGTATAAACAGGGGAATATAATGAAGTTAAATCTTTTATCTGCTGTGTTAAGAATACGCTGGTTTTAAGTTGGAATGAGAATGCTGTAACAAATATGCAATTCCAATAAACTATGTTAAATAAATCGGTAAAAAAGAATCGTATTAATCTGGAACCGACGATGATGGTGCTGACATAAACGATTAGTATCAATATTAAATTTTAATAAAAGAAACTATTTATTAATTTACTAATGTCTTTTTTTTTCGTAATTACTAAAAAAATGTATAGTGGAAAGTTTTGTGCCTATTAGGATAAGGTCGTTTTCGGGTAGTGGTTTTAGATGTTGAACCTGGTGGATAGTTCATTTAACTGTTGGCAACACTATGAAACATTAACCTATTAACGTTTTAAGTAAGTTTAAACCCATCTATGTTTTCGACTGAAAGACTTGTATCTATGGTCATGAATAAAAATAATTAAAAAAAAAAACCTACATATTAACATGGAAGATAAAAGTTGACACTTGACAAATGACATTTGAATTGACGACAATTAGGGCAAAATAAACACAGAAAATAAAGAAGAAGAAACATATAAAACAAGACTTCTAAGAAATATTCCGTTTGTGTTATTTTAACTAAATTCCATTCACTGAACTACAAGAATGGAAATTCAAAATGTTAATCTACAACATTGGTTAACAGAAACCCCAAACCATACAACATTCAGGATAAATAAGTTAAAAACATTTTACCCTTCTGTTCTTCATGATTGCTTAGTAAAAGTAGGTAATTATTATCATTTCTACATCCTATTTTAATTTCAACAGACTTGTTTCTACATTTCTACTATTCACTTACTAAATTACAGTTAACCTGATACAAATAGTCACAGCTAGTCAGTTGGTTATAACACAGTCATAACACAGATCGCATCGGCAGATACACGCGCTAAACGGCTCGATAACCGATTTTCTGTTGATAAATAATATTTTTGGTTCTATTTTATAAGCATTGTTCTTAGTTTTAAGTTATATTTAAGTGAAATTATATTAATGGATTGCTCAATAGTGTTTCAACGTCCAGACAAACCTGTTAAGGTTGACGTGTGACGTTTTATAGCTAACACCGAACTGTACTTTTTGTGTCAATAAAGAAAAAAAAATTGCTTACAATTAGTGCTAGCTAAGCAGAATAAGAACCTTGATATAAAGATTAATCGTGTTTACCTAAAATATATTTTTTTGGAAGTGTCATTCATTTTTTAGCAAAGCATGGATCTAAAGTCAGACCAAATACCTAAATCTTATATTCTAAGACCAGATTGCCTTATAATAGAGCAATGGCCAGCTGATATTGCAGTGGAGAAAACTGGAAAAGAAGTGATAGTAGATGCCTTATGTGCTGCAGCTGTGTTAAGGGGAGCACATGTATTTGCACCTGGAGTATTGGGCCTTCCCGTTAGTAAGTAATATTAATTTAACCTTGAATATAATTTAATAATATAATTATTTGGCAGTTTGAAAAATTATGAAAATTGTTGTGTTTTTTAAGTTTTCTCAAAAATCGAAGTAATTGATATTACTTTCAATATACTTATATATATATATATACTCACTTATTTTTTTAATTTAACATTAGCTAAAAGAATTCTGTTGCCAGTTTTTTTCACAATTTCTTTTTTGTTGTGTTCAAATTTATATCAAATAAAACCTAAATTATCAAATAACTAACTATAGTAATATGATGATTACTCAATACATTTATTGCGATGATATATAGGTTGCAATAAATAGTATATTGTAATAGAAAAAATTCTAGAAATGATTTATCTACTTTTTAAATTTATTAAGTTCTGGAAATGACTGAGTAAAGATACCTTGTTAAATGAGCTGTTTGTCACGATGATTTCTTATGACTTGATATTAATTATGTTAAAGTGAAGTATGTTAAATGTAAATACATATTTGATATATATTCCAAATGATCTTTAGTTCTTAAGTTTTCTTTAGTTTCTTGGTATACAACCAATCATATGCAAAAAAAATATTACTTAATTATAAACCTGACATCTAACTGGAGATTGTGTATTCGATTCCCACCTAGAGCAAATATTGTGTGATGAGCATGGTCATTTGCTCTGTGTCTGGGTGTAGTTTATCCCTACTACTATTATAAATGCGAAACTATCTGTCTGTCTGTTAGTTTTCACACCTAAACCGTTGAACCGATTTTGATGAAACTTGGTACAGAGGTAGTCTAGAACCTGAGAAGGGACATAGGCTCTACTTTTTAATTCGAAAAAAGGGCTGTAAGGGGTGAAATAGGGGATGAAATTTTGTATGGCAATTACGTCATTTTTAAAGCTAGAAGCCTGAAACTTATTTTCTAGGCTTTTGATTAGATATAAATAAATACAACATTCAAAGTTTTTTAAAGCTTTCGTTTTGTCGTAGTTTTTTTGGAAGTAATAAAAGTTAATTCTGTGTTAAAAAATAAATATATATACATTCTGTGTACTAAGTATCGGGAATTTGTCAATAAAACAAATAATACAAATTATTCATCTAAATTTATTTTATCGCCTTCAAAGTAGGCCCCATCGCTTGCAATACAACATCTCCACCGCTTCACCCAGTCTTCCATACATTTTTCATAGGCTATTTGCGGTATGGCCTTTAGCTCATTCAGCGAATTTTCTTTTATGACTTCTATCGACTCAAAACGTTTTCCTCGAAGTGGTAATTTTAACTTGAGAAATAAAAAAAAGTCAGACGGAGCCATATCAGGTGAATACGGTGCTTGGTCGAGAACTTTTGTTGAATTTTTCGCTAAAAACTCTTTCACTATAATGGCTGTGTGTGATGGTGCATTATCATGGTGCAGCATCCATGAGTTGTGTTGCCACAAATCTGGACGTTTTCGGCGGATACTCTCACGCAAACGCTTCATGACGCCTAAATAATATTCTTTATTCACTGTTTCTCCCTCTGGAAGGAATTCGGAGTGAACCACACCACGGTAGTAAAAAAAAACTGTCAGCATCACCTTGATTTTGGAGCGACTTTGCCGCGGTTTTTTTGCTTTCGGCTCGTTTTCGAGACGCCATTCTGAAGACTGTTGGCTTGTTTGCATGTCGTACTCATAAACCCATGTCTCGTCGCCAGTTATTATACGTTTCATAAAGGTCGGATCCGTAGAAGCTCGGGAAACCATGTCTTCAGCGACATGCTTTCGCTGCGCTTTTTGAACAAAATTAAGCTCTTTTGGAACTAGTCGAGCGGCGACGCGTTTTATGCCTAAATTGTCAATGAGAATGTTGTGGACGGACTTAAAAGATATGTTCACCTCACTAGCCAACTCTCTCAGACTCATACGTCGATTTTCGAGCACTAGCTTCTTAATTTTGTCGATGTTTTCTTTGGTCGTAGCGGTTGAAGGTCTACCAAAACGAGGCAAGTCTACTACTACTTCTCGGCCTTCTTTAAAAGCCTTATACCATTCATAAACCCTTGTTTTCGATATACACGATTCGCCGTAGGTATTTCGCAACATTTTTAGTGATTCACCACAAGAAATATCATTCGAAACACAAAATTTAAGGCACACTCTTTGTTCAACAATATTTTCCATTGTAAAAATCGCCGAGGACTCAAAACTATCACCAACAAAAAGTGTAGTTCAAAACAAATTAAATGACAGATCCCGCTCAAATTTTGCGCGCTTAATCAGTACAGTGCTACCAACATGCAGTAAAACAATTAGAACGACCTCTTTTACGCGGGTCTTTTTATTGACATATTCCCGATACTTTTTACACAGAGTTGTATATGGATGAAGGTACAATCATTGACTATTTTTTTATATTCCACGTTTAAAATGTGAATACAATTTATTTTTAGAATTCCAAACTATAAACAAAAATAATATATATATACTTTTGTCAACATTGCAATGGCTTGATCGAATCATTTAATGGAGCAGGCAATTATTAATGTTTTCGTGGAAAAGAACATATTTATCAAAATGAACAATACATCACAAACTTATTATGAATGTTTTTTTTTTAACACTAAACTTAGCGCACTCTGCGCATTTGAAAACTAATTCGCGTTCCAATTAAGCATCAGCACAATTCGGCATTGTGCGCCACTGAGCTGCATTTTACTCTGTAATTGGAAAACTACCTACCGTTTGCGTTATACGATGCATGGTGAGACGGCGTCGCGGCGACGACGCGCGGGACACGCGGACGGCATGGTGGGAGGAGTGTAAATCACAAAGTATGCTTACCCGAACGGCCAGACACGTGAGGGCAGGCGTCATTGTCGGACGCATGAGATATCTACAATTTTGCGCTGCAACGAATTTGATTTCTTTACGTTTTCATTGTTTTTTAGGGTTTTTTGGATTAGCATTTTGTGTCATTTGCTTTGTTGTTTAGGTTGTAATGATTAGTTTAGCAAACGCATTTTTAATAGTTTTTTTTTTAGTTCCGGTATAGTTAATAGGTAAAATAAAATAGCTTAATTCATTTTTAGGATAGGTATAAATTAGTAGTAGATTAGTAGGCAGGTTTTTTGTCAGTTTATTCACTTTTAGTAGTTACGTGGTATTTGTGCGCGCTATCAAATATATCTGCAAATATATTAATAAAGGCAGTGATCAAGCCATTTTAAATTTTAGGAACACAGAGCTTGCAAATCGCGTAAATGAAGTACATACATACCAATCTGGTCGTTATGTTAGCAGCAACGAAGCCGTGTGGCGGTTTTAGGGTTGCCGTTGCACGAAAGGCACCCCACCGTTACACATCTAAGTGTACACTTAGAGAATGGTGAACGGGTTTATTTTACAGAAGATAATTTCCACGAGCGATTATCTACTCGACCAAAAACCACACTTACAGCTTTTTTTGAACTTTGCACAAGAGATGAGTTTGCAAGAACTCTTATGTATGCTGAGGTACCGAGGTATTACACATGGGACGCAACCAGAAAGCTTGGAAACGCTGAATTCAAGGAACTTCTGTTCAGAACTGGCCTGGTGTCAAATCTGGAGATGCTTTAAGACGAGTTTATACAGTCCAGACACCCAACGGAAAAACTGTACACCGCATGCCAAGTCTTAACCGTCCGACACTTATTTTTGCTCAAGTTACCGACTTTCTTAACCAGTTAAAATTATGAGCAGACAGAAGATTTACTGTCATACGTCACATAATACACGTAAAAGTACACAGAAACAACACATACACACACACACACACACACAAACATATATACGCACACACATACATATACTGAGTCTACCAATAGGGATGACCTGGTTTTGACAGCTCATAGCGGCCATGTTTGATGATGGATCTTTGACGTCTCTTGACATTTGTGTTCAGTAAGGTTTGCCATTTTATCATGTCGTTTCATTTTAAACCAACGCTTGGAAATTGTCCAAAATTATTACGAAAGTGACGAAGGAAACCCTGTTACTGTGAATCGCGAGCGCTATAACTTGGATGTTAACCGAATACTTATTTCTTTCCGGAATTTGATGATATTGATGCGGACGACCTTTATTTTCAACAAGACGGTGCACCACCTCACATTACTCGAGTGAACATTTAATGATTGCGTGGAAAGTTTGGTGAGTTGTTAATTTCGAGAAATGGACCGATCAATTGGCCACCAAGATCGTGTGATTTAAAACCTTTAGACCATTTTCTTTGGGGTTACGTTAAATCTAAAGTGTACAGCAATAATCCAGCTACAATTCGTGACCTAAAAACCAACATTCGACGAGCCATAGCCGACATACCGGCCGAAATGGTGCACCGCGTCATCGAAAATTGGCGTGAGCGAGTGCCCGTCTGCAAAAAGAGCCACGGCGGTCATTTGGCCGATATATTATTTAAAACATAAATTGCATAAAATTATCTATCAAATAAATCAATCGGATGCATTTTTCATAAAACATTGTGTGTTTTATTCAATTTTTAAAGCAGGACGTTCTTATTGTAAAAATATATGTATGTTTATAAGCAGTCTGGTTACCATAGTACAGGCTCTGCCTAGTTTAGGATAAGACTGCTGTGTGTGAGATGTGTCAAGTTATTATGATGCAAGTTAGTTGAATAGGGAATTTGCATGTATTTTTTTTATTTTTTTTAACGATTCTACTAGTTATTACATTACCAAAAATAAATATAACACATCCGAAATATAAACCGTTAAGCAAAAAAAAATTTATTAAAATCACTATCATTTTGGGGCAATTTGAACACGTCCAGTTTGGCGCGCTTTTTTTGTGACATCAGATTACACTTTCAGACGAATTCGATGTCAACAACGGAGTGAAGTTCACAAAGTTTCTGAAAGTTAAAAAACTGAGTCATAAAAATTAACTTATTACCATGGAAAGACAATAAAATTTATTATAAATATTGTGGCTTGTGTGTTCCTTTGTGCCAAAATAATATCAAAACTGCACCTGACAAAGTATATTCAGTCATTGTGTTGAGTCTTTCTACACGGGAATTTAATAATTTAACATTGAAAACGTATTAGTTATTAACTTAAAATGAAACAAATAATCACCAGAAACCAAATATTACAAACACACACAACTTGTTGGCACTCTTGACAGTGTAGGTTGACATCACGTTTTATTCAACCAATAGCGTTGCGTTTCAGAAATTTGAGAGGGAATCTTAAAAAAGCCAATTTTTGATGATTAAATTTCACTATTAAATTATAATAAATTTCAAATATAATTGTTTGGGTATCTTTTTTTAGCAATAAAAATTACAAATAAAAATATTTTGTCCATTTTGGTGTCACGTGCATATTCCCTATTAATTGAAAAAAGAAAATTTTCAATTAATGTTAAATTTTTGTGAGTTTGAAGTTATAGACATCCATTTATTTTCAGATTGTCGGATTGGACAGAGGGTGGATGTCTATGGTGATTTAGAAGGTCATTGCAAAAGAGGTCTCAAAGTACCTTATGAAGGTAAAAAACAATATGTCGGCATGGGTTATCTGCAAATGTTAAGGGCAGATTTATTTGACAATGGTGTTCAACCAAGGTGTATTTTATATGCATTGACACTTTTTTTATTAAATGTTGATAAAGAATGATTTTCTTACTGTATATCTTATTTTTAGTGGCGTAGCTGTTCACACAATATTGCCAGCATCAAGACTACCCGTTATAAATGAGAGTATTTATCCCAAAGGGGTAGTACTGTTACAAAACTTACCTTCTATAATATGTGGATGGGTTGTAGATGCTCAAGCAAATGAGTATATTCTGGATATGTGTGCTGCACCTGGTAATAAAACTACACATTTAGCTGAAATGTCAAATGATAAAGTTAGTTAGCCTTGATATTGAAGTATATTCAATAATTATTAAAATATTTTTTTCCTTGTCTAATATGTTTTTGATATATTAATTGTTACAGGCAATTATAGTAGCAATAGACAAGAGTCCTAGAAAGGCAGCAAAGATAAAGGAAAACTGTGAAATACAAGGTGTCACTTGTGTTAAAGCATATGCGTATGATTCAACTAAATGCTGTTCAGAAGACAGTGTAGATATTATCTCTGGACCTCCATTTCCACCCAACAGTTTTGATAAAGTATTACTAGATGCACCTTGCAGTGGATTAGGCCAAAGACCACAACTTGTGAACAAAATGACTCCCAAAATTATCAATTCATATAAGTTTGTTCAAAGAAAATTATTTGCAGAAGTAAATACAAAACTAAATAATCTAAATTTATTAGTATACCATATTCCTAATGAAAAATTTATTTTTAGGCAGTGAAAGTATTAAAAGTAGGAGGAAAATTGATATACAGTACTTGCACTATTGCAGAGCAAGAGAATGAATGCATGATAGCATGGGTGCTAGATAAATTCCCTTTCTTGAAACTAATACCTTCAGAATCTCTTCTTGGTGGGCCAGGGTTAAAAAATAAAGGACTGAATGAAGAACAAAGGTAAAATAAAGATTTTATTTCATTAAAAAATACATCACTGTGTTGGCAAGAGTAGTGTTAAATATAAAAAAGACAGTGCTGCTAATAAAATTACATATAGTTATTTAATCCTTATATTTTTTAGTAAATACTATAATTTATTTGTACCAAACTTTATCAGGAACTTTACATACTCTATATATATTTATATACATCAATATAAATACTCAATAACATGTTTAACTATAACCCGGCAATCTCGTGCGCGTCCGACCGTGGCGGGGGCGAGGTAGCGCGTCATTCTAGCGCACGGCTACACGCGTTTCCCTTCCCCGCTACACCACCCGCTACCCGCTGACATCTTGAGTACCTCGTCCCCCCCACCGTCTGTCACCCCGCAGGACGGTCGCGCACGACGTTGATGGACTATAGTTGCCATTTTGAGAACTGTACTTTGACTTGTTATCACAATGTGCATATATTTTTCAGATTGATGGTGCAGCGGTTTGGTCCAGTAGATGATGAAATTAGACCAGTACAAAACCTATACAAGAATTCAATAGGCTTTTTCATAGCTGCATTTGTAAAACTACCCTTATAACCCTATATAATATAAATAAACTTTTATGAAATATAATCAATCATATTTTATTTACATGAATGGCATCTTGCAAAGTATAGTCATACCTACATATCAATTTCTTTTCTGTATATTATGAATCAGTATAACTCTAGCTGTTTTTATATAGAGCTAACATGCAGTCTAAAATTATATTGACAGTGTAACATATACATTCAGTCAAAAAAGTATCGGGAATAGATGATTTGTTTATGGTTCCAAATTAAAAATTTTGTTTTTTTTGTTGTTAGATTGGCACAACTGTTTTCCATTTTGGCGCGGACTTTGAGTTGCATCTGTTATTATCTGGTAATAACAGTGTTGTTTTTAGTTATATCATATCTAGTCTAATTTCTTATTTCATAATGGACAAAAACATCGAACAAAGAGCTTGTCTTTTTTGCATCGCCAATGGAATTTCGTGTTCGGAGTCACTGAAAATGTTACAGAAAGCTTACGGTGAATCGACTTTATCAAAAACACGTGCTTATGAATGGTACAAAGCGTTCAAAATCGGTCGAGATGTAATGGAAGATTGGCCTCGCTCTGGTAGGCCATCAACGTCTGCAACTGCAACGAAGTTAACATCGTCAAAGTGAAGGAAGTAGTGACTGAAAAGCCTCATTCAACTTTGAGAGAGAAAGCCGCCGAAATTTCTGTATCTCACGAGACGATCCGTACCATTTAAACTAATCATTTGGATATGAAACATGTTACCGCTCGGCTAGTCCCAAAAGACTTGAATTTTCTCTGAAATCTCAATCGCATGAGAGTCGCTGAGGACTAGCATGTCCTAGTCAAATCCGACCCAACATTCATAAAACGCATTGTTACTGGTGACGAGACGTGGGTTTACGAGTTTGACATGCAAACTAGTCAACAAGCTTCGGAGTGGCGCCTTCCAACTGAATCGAAACCGAAAAAACCACGCCAAAGTCGAACAAAAGTCAAAGTCATGTTGACTGTTTTCTTTGACTATCGCGGGGTTGTGCACTCGGAATTCTTGCCGGAAAGTCTAACGGTAAAAAAAGAAAATTATTTGAGCGTTATGAGGCATTTAAGAGATTCGACGAAAAAGGCCAGATTTGTGGAAAGAAATTTCTTGGATTTTGCACCACGATAATGCGCCTTCGCACAAGGCCATTATTGTGAACGAATTTTTGACCACACTCACTTTGAAAACACTCAACAAATACCATCGAGCAACCACCATATTCACCAGCTATGGCTCCAGCCGACTTCTTTCTTTTTCGTAAACTCAAATTACCACTTCGTGGCACCCGTTTTCAATCGGTAGAAGACATAAAGGTGAATTCGCGGCGAGAACTGAACTCAATTCCGGAAACAGCGTTTAAAAAATGTTTTGATGATTGGATTATTCTTTTTGGCGTAAGTGTATCGTTTCTGAAGGAGCATACTTTGAAGGTGATAAAATAAATTTGGATGAATAACAAACATTTTCTGTATTATTGATCTTTTGCCGGTACTTTCTTGACAGAGTAGTATACATGTTTTTGTAACCGGCGAAAAAAAAACCGGTTTTTTTTTTCACTGTGCGTTTCTACACTTAAAGTATTGAGTTTTAAATATTCCAAAATTTAATTCTTTCATCCTCCACATTAAAGGATTCAAGAATTCTTTCCACACATTATTATGTAGACACATTATATTAGTGTTAATCTCAGTCACAATATATGCATAGGTTTTGTTATTCATGAAATGAAATTAGTTTGATAAAAGAAGTTGCCATATCACATATTTTTCATGATGCCATATATCTAGAATATATTAATGATCAAGACAAATTAATCGAGGATACATCCAACTAATAATTACCCATTCACCCTAATATAATAATTATATTAATACAATTTGAACTTACATTTCTGGCAAAGTATCACAAACATTAAAAAAATTCTTACTGGTATTTAGTTATTTGTTCGTTTTCTATAAACTAATTTTTATAAAAGCCTTCGTCAATTATTATTGTTTTATTTGCTGGAGCAATTAAACAATAATAATTGACGAAGGCGAAAGTTTGATATTTTGCATTGGAATGCAAAATATCAAAATTTATCCCTTACATGTAAAAATGGGCACTTATTTGTTTGTACTCTAGTCTTTGTAAATACGTGATCTTTAAGATTGTTAGACACAGTCTTCCCTTATAATAATATAGTAAATAAAAAAAAACTATCTATCCTATCTGGACAGGTGAAACTATGCTACCTCCATATTAACTGAGTATTCAATCTCATTTCATAGACAAATACACAGTATGCGTGTTTGAAAAATCTCATTTGAATTATAATATTGCACTTCACTTTTAAAACAATTCAAATAACAAAAAAGTGATGTACACATGTAACTCGTGACAGTGTTGAATATTCACGGATTTACAATTATTTTACTTATACATACAAAAATATATAAAAACGGTTCAGAAATGTTTCTATGATCCTCTAACAGTGCGGCGTTTTAAACACGCAAATTGCGTTGTACAAGATTACAGGGGTTCCAGATTGTAGAATTAAGTAGATAACAGTTTTAGATTACTTCGGGTGAGGAACAGAGGATTAAGGCCCCTGTAATTCTACACTCGACGAGCATTTAGTGGATTGGTAGTTCTAACAGATCTGTTAAAAGAACAGTAATGAATTTCGATGCTCTTCCTGTCTTCTATAGTGCTTCAATATTAACCCACAAACCATCCTTTGCTTTGAGTAAGATTGCTCTTTTATGAAATTGTATAGGATCCACAGTCTTATCGCACACAGAAAATTTAAAGTTCTTCAACAGTGAGACCATCGCAAGCTTTGCCGATAACATGGCGAATCGTAAACCTGAAATTACAATGAAATAACTCTTTAGCTCTTTACTGAATAACTCTTTACCTGAATTTAGCATTTTCAGTGGATAAGTGCTTTTCCAGAATTGTTCTTAGGTTCGTACAAGATTCTCCATTTTCCTCCATCACGAAAAGCATGGGATAAGACGCGTTTTAATTTAGCGAAAAATAACGGTATTTAAGTAGAGACTTTGAAGTAATTAAAATCAGGGCAACTTTATAGAGATGCTCATCATTATATTCTGTAATGCTAAATAGTTGTTTCTTAAAAACAAACACTGTCCAAAAATCTACATCTTGAGAGGCCACTGTAATCAGTAGATGTATATGGACGGGTCAACTTTTAAACAATCAAAACGATTCAGATTTTGAGTCGAGTTTTGAGCCCCTAATACTTTTTTACGAGTTCATAGATTGGCCAAAAGCCTTCTTACTCCAAAGTTTTCCTATTAAGTTGATATTAAATTTTAAGTCATAATACGTCACAGAAGTATTGCGCATCCAATAGTGTTCATAATCTAGCATTTAAATTATTTGTAAGAAGAAAATGTGTGTAAGAAAATATTAAACAAAAACTAAGTACCAATGCAATTCCTGGGACCAGCGCCAAACGCTAAATATAAATGCGAAGCTCTGTTCTTTTTTTCTTCGTTCATAAATCTTTCTGGTCTGAATTCCTGCGGTTCCGGGTAATAGTCAGGGTCCATATGAATTCCATATAAAGGTATAGTCAATATGTCACCAACCGCTACGTGGACAGAAGTTCCAGGTAATATATAAGGCTTTGTACATACTCTGTCTACTCTAGCCACCGGTGGATAGACACGTAAAGTTTCTGAAATATTTCATTTTTATATTTAGCTGTGTATGATTCACGTAACTAAACTTATACACATGAGATACGTTTGTAAAATAAGGAGTCAATATCTTATTTATTATATTTTAATACTTTATATAACTTTTATTGTGCTATTGTAATCTATAAAAGTATGTGTTAAATGTAAACATAATTATGATAAAAAGTGCTAATTTCAATTAAATTGTACCTATAAAATTGGATAATGTAATTATAGTAATTTGATAAATGACACGCAGAGGCCGTCTTATCATAAAAAGCATGTTCAATTTTAACCAGATTGATGTTAAACATAGATAAATTATACCCAGATACAAAACAAATAATTTGTCCCATGTGGGGATTGAACCCACGACCTCTGCTTAGGCATTAAGAGAACCTGCCAATAGACCAACATGTCAGTCAGGAAAATTAAATTGTAAATTTAATGTGTGTTTATAAGCCTTTATCGAAGTCATACTTCATGGTAGGTATATGAAACTTAATTCGCTCTGTACGTCGAAGTCAGTCGGTTCAATCGCTGTTAATGGGTATAGCGACTAACGGATCTATCATAACATCTTCACCGTACCATTCGGTAACTTGTACAAACATTTGTTAGTAGTTTTAATATTTTTATGATTGTTATATCTGATCAACATTTTTACTTTATTACGGAAGTTTGTACTACCCAAGAAAGTATCGTTTATTTACCAAGTAAAAATCCATCGAGATAATTTAATTGCGTGAGGAGATCGTAGTCTATTTTCTTTCCATCGGTTATTTCTATGACATGTTCTCGAAGTTTCGTCTGCAGCTCCGGTTTTGTAGCCAGTACATGAATGGCGAAAGACAATAAAGTACTTGAGGTTTCATAACCAGCTATAAGGAACAACAAGCATTGCGCATCGATCGTGTCGTCATCCAAATCTGTGTAAAGAAAAATCTTTATGAATACAGTAAAGTCATTGACTAGGTACTAAGGATAGTGCAGTGTAGGTTTGATTCCATCTTAGTTTTTCATTGTCATGAAATTTAGAAGTACTTAGGTAATAAAAAAAGATTCTACTTTCATTACGCGTTCCCAAATAATGAAATATTATGATACGAAATTTCTAATTCCTGAGAGACAGCTTTCAGCTCACAGAATTCACAGCCATAATGGGTAACAATGCTATCTGATAAGCAACAGCACTATCTACAAGTTTATTCAATGATTATGATATTTAATTAATGTTAATTTTAAAGTTATGTGTTGAGTATCACTATTGTTTGAGGAAGCGTTATGGAATAAGGTATAATACTTAATCATATACAATCTACACAATGCAATGTTTGATTTCTCTTTAGTAAATAGATATGATCGCGGTTCTGTTCAGTGATCGCACATAAAACAGAAATATTATATCTTGGAAACTATTATCACAAGTATATTAGGTACTTACGCACTTCAGATTTTGTACTATCACTTTCTGATTTTTCTTTTTTTGCAACATCTATTAGGATCTGAAGAAAATCGCTGTGACTGCAAGAAAGTAAAATATAATTTAGTTTTTGCTTAGCCATACATTAAGTGCGCAATTTGACTATACATCATCATGCGAAATTTAGCGCATATAAATAGTACTTGACTCTGAAGTCAAATCACGTAATGTTTATTAAACAGGCGTTTTTGTAGTGATTACGGATTTGTTTACTTGTAACAATTACCTAATAGATATTATATCACGCGATTGATAGAAATTACATATTTTGAATTGCCTGACGTTGCACTGACCGTAGTCACAGGCGGACTCAGTCCATCAGTGCGACCAATCCAAACATCAGGCTAATTTATGTAATACCTAATTCGGGGTAATTGTCCTTTTGTTAGTAGTAATTATACATCATGAAAGGCAAAAGATTAAATGTTACTATTTACTAGTATCTTCTGATTTTACAATAAAAGATAATAACCAACTTAAAAATTTAATTGGTTAATTCAGTTACATAGATAACAAATTTCGTCTAGTTGCAGACCTTAAAATTGTGTCGATTTTGAGTTAAAGTGCATGTGATTCCTACCTTTGAAAACGGTGAATAGAAAAAGTTACTTACTTCGCGTCAGATTTACTCCTTTCTGCTTTAGCTGCTTTTAATATCCCCATTAACTCCGTGGTAGATTCCAAATTAAGGAAGGAAAAGTTTAAATATCTTATCACCGTAGGCATAAATATTAAAATGAAGAACAAGAAAATTCGCTTGTGTAGCGGCATGTAATCAAACTTCTCAGCCACCTAAAAGAAGTATAATATGAAATCAAAAGGCGTTTTTCAGATAAAGCACCGCAGCTGAAACAGTTGCATCGGGCATAAGGCGCTCGTAGTGGAAATTAATGTCCTTCTCCGAACACAATTAAGAATGTGCCTAGTAATATCTTTCTACGCTTTACATAACAATTTAAAACTGTAGCAATCAATCTACCTTGCCAGAAACATTAAAACATTAAGATGATTTTACGCGGATCGTTAATAACGTTAGCTTTGGCCTTTTTCTTAAAATACCCCTGGAAACGTGTTTGTAAAATTTATGATGGTCAGATGAGTCATGATGATGAAACAAACAAACTTAACAATTGGTTTGTGCAATTAAAGCAACCTATTGTGAGTTCAAGTTTCTGATCTTCGTATGTCAAAATTTAATTGACACAGGTTTTATTACAGGCCTTGACAAATACACATTCTTGTAACAATTAGCAACAACCTACATTAAAAAAGTAACTTACAGTAAAGAAGTGTGCATTCTCATCACTTAAAGAGTCACCTTTGATACCAAAGGCACACGCGCCGATTACTTCTAAGGTGAAATGTCCTATTGTTTTCTTCATCTCAACGTCTTTCTTATCTAAAAAAAGAAAAAGAAATCCTGTAATTATAAGGCTTAATGGAAAATTTTGCTTTAAAATTTTCTTCATTACCTAATTTACTTAAATACAATAAAAAATTAAGGTTACTCAATAACAGGTAGTGTAACAGTTTACGACTTACGACGGAATTACCTGCTACCAAGTGGTAGTCAGTTTGGCGCAGGTAAAGATTTCATATCAATTTTTAAAAGGAATGTGGTATAGGTAAAAAATAAGTAAAAACGGTTTAAATAGAACTATTGGGTCCAGTATATTCTGACCTGTCTTCGGACAAATTTTATACAATGACAGTTAAAGCTATAATGGTCAATGGTTATTATTTTAAATCTTCCCGGCGATCGATCTCTATCATATATAGTTATGACTGTACACATACCATATTTTTTTAAGAAATCCACTAATTCGCTGGAGCACAACTCAATGAGCGGCAACATGTTTCTTAAACGAGATGAACTGAATACGGGCGTCAACGTACTTCTTACGCTTTTCCACTCAGGTCCCTGTTTGTAATAAAATACATGTTATAACACCTATGCTCATCGTCTTCGCTCAGTGTTTTTAATAGCCCATACATAATACAAATTAACTATAATTTCCCTATGTATGAGTACAGTAGTAAGTGACGTGAACAATTCCTTTTTTTAAGGAAAAGGGCAAAAGAGCAGACGGGCCACCTGATGGAAAGCGACTACCACCGCAAATTAACGTTTGCAACTGAGGAGTCACAAGCGCGTTGAGGGCCTTTGACGAAAGAGTGCGCTCTTTTCTTGAAGGTCGTATCGGTCTGGAAATACTGCAGACAATAACTTGTTTCTTTATATAATACTACCAATCCGCCCGGCTTCGCTGGGGTACTACTAATGTGGCATCAGTGTTATTATTTATACTAATATAGTCATAAGACATAAGACAGATATATTACAAGACATTTTTATATGCAATATTTAAAGGCCCGCTCCGCTCCTGCCGGCCGTTGCCACCCGGAACGGACGAACGAGCCGAATCGGCGACTCGGCCGCTTTGCCTTTGCCTTTTAAATCTCTCTCTCTCTCTCTCAGATTTACTAAGATATTCAATTTTATTATATGCCGTGAAAGGCAATTTAGATCTACATTAAATGCACAACGTTCCTAACATATTTATTTGGATAAGGAATAATACTGTATAGCTTCGTAAATTACTCGTGGTTACTGTGGTTTTCCTTAGGGATATACGAGTACATATAAGCGTACAAAATCGTGTTCATTACGACTTCACATTACAAATCTTTGAAATTCTCGGATTTCGTCTACTATAATATGCATGTATTATAGATATAAACTCGTCTCTTGAATCACGCTCTCTATTGGTGAAAACCGCATTAACCGCATTGGTAAGTTGCTAAGTTTGATAGATCTAAGCGTACAAGAAAAAGAGCAACTTCATTTTATACTATGTAAAGATACCTAAGTAAAATTAATAATAACAGTATCTTCACACATGCAAACTAGAGCCTGGACTATGGTAACCAGACTACTTATATATTTAGCTTTGCCATACACCCGCGTGTAAATCGGCTATCGCGTTAAAAAGAAATCCATGTTATTCGCTGATAATGCAGCTTTCCATTGGTGTATAATTTTTTTAAATTAGTTTACTGGTTTAGGCGTGAAAGCTGTACAAACTAACAAACTCTCACATTTATAATACACTTGCCTTTGCCCGCGGCTCCGCCCGCGTGTATGTCTGTTATCGTGCTAAAAAATAGCATATGTTACTCGCTGATAATGTAACTTAACATTGGTGAAAGAATTTTTAAAATCGGTTTGGTTTAGGCGTGAAAGTGTAACAAACAAACTTACTTCCACATTTATAATATATGTATAAGTTTAGAAGAAGGAATTTCCAAATACATACATATTATGAATATGTATGTGTGTAATTACACCAAAACACAGAAGAAAGGAATGTGCTTATCACACAATTATTTTATCTTCAGAGGGAATCGAACCTATTACCTCTGGTATAGCAGTTAGGGTTAACTAGGGCACTAGATCAACAGGCCAGTCAATTGATAATAAAGGTTGGTTATAAATGTTAAAATTTGATCGAATTTCTGCTTCTATAAAAGTTTCTATATTTAAATTGAAGTTTAAAAAAATACAAGGTAGACGAAAAATTAATTAAGTTACAGTTACAGTATGTTATTTCTTAATGGGATGGAAGTGAAGTAAAGAAAGTACCACAATAAATTTTACTTTCTTTACTCTAAAATAATTATGATGATTGATGATGATTTTGGGCTATGTTATGCAATCAAGTTTATGAGCACTAATCGATTTGAAAAGATTTACGAGATTTAGTAAAATAAGTAGTGAATTACCATCAATTTTAGTTGATGCAATGAGTTTATGTTTCTGTAGATCTGACACACTCTTATGCTTTAACAGCTCAAACTAATTTCTTAAAAAATTGCAACATACAGTAAAGTCTGCCAGTAGTGGCAGTAAAGGAGACTTTTCCTACATCGGTTTCTTTTATCATCAATGATATCATCACACTAACACCTTGTGTTGCGAGAAATTAATCACTATTATTATTATCAATCAGATTCAGAAAATGACTACTTAAGTATCGCCCTGATTTATCAATTATTAAAAAGGGTAAACCAATAAAAAAGGCAGAGATAGAGAGTTGGCTATGAAATAAGGCATCTAAGATATTTCTTGCATATCAGAGCTGTGCTGAGGTCTCGGGTTCAATTCCCAGGTCGGACCAAAAATTTTATGATCTGCAAATATTTGTTTCTGAGTTTCGGTGTTAACGAAAAAAAGTATATAAGTATTCTATCAGTCAATCTACCTTTCATAGTTCAAGCTCTGTTTAGTTTGAGGCTAGATGGAGTGCGAAACATTATTATTATAACCTTTTGCGAGTAGAACCAAGAGCATTTTCTTTTCCAGTATAGGAAAGGCAAAAAATTCATAAATTTTCATGTTGCTTGACAAAGGTCTTAAGAGTTGTAGAGAATATTAATGAAAAGAATGATTTATTACTGAATATTATTCTTAAATATTTCTAACCTAAGATTATTCCTTAAACTAAAATATGGAGAATATTTTACTACTATCTTAATTACTAAAAACTACTTAAATAGACTACCTTTAAGTTGAGCAGGGACCGACTTAAAAACCTTGGAGTCTTGGCATTAAGGGTGATGCGATCAGTAAAGTGATCAAAATCACGGATTGTTACAGCTTTAATTAAATCTGGATCCAATATGTTTAACATTGGTCTCCTTCCTTCAAAAAGTCCTATAAACAAAAATATTTAACACTTAAAACTGTTTTATAAATTGAAATTAGACTTAAAAGTCACTGAAAAAGTTATGTCACAGAAAAAGTTACAATTTCTATTAATTATACACTATTCATTGTATACTATTCATTGTATTTATTGCAGTCTCAGAGGATAGAAACTTAGTAGCCAGCAAGCAGTCAGAGTTACAGGTTTATGACTTTGGCCTGTTCAAGGTGTTACTTAGCCAGCCATTCAGGATAAAGAGTCAAACAATACACATTTACCCACCCATATATGTCCCCTTCCTAACTATATTTTAATATATTTAATTAATTAATAATAATTATAATTAATTAATTAATATTTTAATTATTAATTTTCCTAAGCTTTAGTACTGTAGTATAGTCTATGTCACAACCGTGAGTTTGTTTGGCCTTTCTTCTCATAATGCTTAACCCCTTGGAAACAGGTGGTTGTAGATCAGCTCAAGCATATCATAGATTTTTGATAGGCTTTAGTCTCAATAAAAACTGATTTCAAACAATTGATAAAAGCTTATGATTCTGGCTACCCAATTGAGGACATGAGCATTTAAATACACTGTTTTTTATGCTACTCTTTTTTAATGAGCAAACACATCAAAAGTTCAATATTCTAAGAAAACTTATTAGAAAATATTAAGATTTACATACCACCATATGGGCTTCCTTTGAAGTAATTATACGCATCTAGCTGAAATTCGTGAAAAGATTTGGTCCCGTTTAGCCTGGGACCCAAATTACCTAATAATATTACAGGTTTTTTATATGGGATGCCCTTTTTCTCGAAAAAGTCAAAGGTACTCGTGTAATAGAAATATAAACCGAATAATATTGTCAGGATTAAAAGGAGTTTCCAATCTTCTACAACAAATGCTAAAAGTTTTTTTGAGCCACTGAAGTATTCCATGGTCAGGTCAGGTTAAAGTACAATATGAAATATTAAGATAATAATATACTCATCGCAATTAAATCAATTAGGTCTATTTCATAAGTAGTATGTTCCTGTCAATTCGTATTATTAAATAGTGCTACTTATTTACTTTCACACTCGTTTATTTTATTGTTTACTTATGAGTTTCTCTACATAAAAATGCTTTTAGTATTGAAACGACTGCGATACGACTGGGGTAAACAACACAAATCATGTACTCTGTGATTTAGAGTAGAGTACAGTAATATTAAACAAATAATACAATCGCATCTAATCTAAGAACATAAGAGGTACCGTTTGACATTTCATACTTTTTAAGATGAAACAACTTTGTATTGGAGTAACTCACAAAATAATAACAACATTTTCTATTTTATCACATGTGACGTGCAATTCTTATTGACTTAATTTAAATGTGAATCTTTAAAACAACGCAAAGTAACCAAAACATTATACAATAGATAGAATTTTATTAGACTTCATTTCAAAGTCACATAGTTAGGTCCTTCACATAAGTGTTGTTATTTTTCGTGTATTGAATTTACGTGTTCTTTGTGTCTGTTTTCTGTTTGTTTGTAAAAGTCCCCCGCGACACAGGATATATTCCTAATGCGGGAGTTGTCTATTTTAAAAACCAAATAAAAAAGCACTTGAATATGAATAATCGGTTTTTATGTTTACAATACAAGTCTGCGCCAATGAAGTTTCCGCACCTACCACCTACCTGCAAACCGAATGTTGCTCAGGAACTCTCGCAAATAAACACACTGAATATATATACACACTGAATACATTTTATTTACTGTTTGCGTGAATTAATAATTATTTATTCCATTTCATATTATACAACTTTTAAATTCAAATAATATAATAATAAAAGTTAAATAATAATACAAACTTAAAATTTTCTTTACAATCTGAATAATTTTTTTTATTATTTTCTGACAAAATCATACCCGTTATCCATGGATAATTCGATCGATTGATAAAGTTAATCTGAAGTAACTTACTCAATGGGTCGAAATAAATATCATTTTCAAAAGTAAATTTTTACAATAATCAATGTAACTATGACGTGCAGCAAGAACTTACGAGTATATATTGTTAGATACAAGAAAAATATTTTAATCTAAGATCAATGCTGAAAGTTGGTATTATTGTGTACCAACAAAATATTTAGTTTTTACATGGTGCAAGACCCTGAAAAATGGTACGTATACCAAGAAATTTGTACGTCTAACATCCTTGTATTTCACGAACTAAAGTTTGCTAGACAGACCTGAACAGTCTGTCAACTGCAAGCTCAAATAATTATTTTATGGCAAAACTACGTTAAGAAAATTTGTTGTCAAATTATGTTGATATTTACTACTATTATCAGTATTTAGATTTAATCGCATTAGAAAGAAATATCTAATATTATGTATAAATATCTCGTGTTATGGTGTTTGTGGTCACACTACTCCGAAACGGTTTAACCTTATTACATTTTTTGTATTTTATTGATTTTAGTATTTTTGTATGATGGCAGGACAACGTTTGCCGGGTCAGTTAGGTGTTTTAGAAAAAAAGTATATAAGTATTCAATCCGTTAATCTAGCTTTCATAGTACAAGCTCTGCTTAGTTTGAAACTAGATGGCGAAGAAAATAGTTATGGATTGTATACTTGTAGAAACTATCATCCAGAGTAAATACAGACGAATGCTGAACTGAATGCTGTTCTGCTTCGAATACGACAGTATTCGAAGCAGAACAGTCTGCTATATTCTAACAGAGGGAGAGTTTCAAATTTTACAGCACTACTAATAAAAGTTTGGTAATCACGAAAGGATTGAAGCATCACTGAAGTTTCACTATGTGCCCAATATCTAGAAGTATTGCAGACAGTATCCAAGTCAGAAATTATTTTGTAGAGGGTGTGACGTGGTTTTTTACTTTTACTTACTATATATAAATTACTTTTAATAAAAAACGTGCAGACAAGAATTGTCTTCTTATTGCTAAGGGAGGTTCAGAACATTCCACTTGCATCGCGTTGATGGGAGAGGACTTCATACAGCCAGTTATAATGCGCAAGCACTTAGCTTCAACTTTGTCAAGTGATACTAGTGCACCCTTATTTACAAGGAGTAATCAAAAACAAACCGTAGTCAATTATGCTGCGTACTAACGCGTTGTAAACTAGTTTCATGGTGTATGGGTGGGCCCCCCACCAGACACCAGCTAAGGCCTATAATATTGGGATGGTTCGCTCACATTTGGAGATCAAATAATTGATGTGATGTATGCCAGTCAATTTAGAATTCAAATAGACACCTAGAAATTTGAATTTTGAGAAGATAGGAATGCTATATTGTTGTACTTGAACATCAATTGTAGGAAGCATCCTTTTACGAGTGAAGATTACAACAGCGCTTTTGGGAACGGAAAGGTCTGCATTTTGAATGCAACGGTCGCTAACATACAGAGCCAAGTCGTCAGCATATTGTAAGATACGATAGTTGCAGTTCAAACATAAACCAATATGATACGAGTATGTATAAAGGTTATACAGGTAAGCCTTTCCATGTCTTTCTGTAACCGAACTCCTCGCCCAAAACTCTAAGGACTAGAATTCGGGACATAAACATCGTACACATGCACTGTATCATCTTGACCGGCAGTCTCAGCTGGTGCAATTTGTGCCAGAAAGTAGGAATAAGGACACTGTCATATGCAGAGGATACGTCAAGAAAAGCAGCGACCACAGATGAATTTTGAGATAAAGAAAGTCGGATGTCTGAAACCAAAATTCCCACACTGTCCATAGTACTAAGACCCTTGCGAAAGTCAAATTGAGAATTTGGTAGTGTTACTTGATTCCACAATCCACTCGAGACGATTTTTAAATAGGTGCTAGTATTTTGATCAGGACTGAAGAAAGAGCAATTGGTTTAAAACTATTTGGGTCATTGACATTTTTCCCCTGCTTTAATATAGGGATTATAATTTGTATCTTCCAATGATTAGGGATCCAGCCATTAGTAAAACAAAAATTAAGGACATTTAAAAAGTATCGTCTAGCTCTATTCCCAGCATTTATCATAAAAGAGTATAGGGTGCCATCAAAATCAGGAGCAGAGTCTTTGACACTATTAAGAACCATGTCCAGCTCTCTTGTGTATCAGCTGTCTTGTGTATCTGAAGATTGTAGTGGCATAGTTGAGAATAAAGTTTCTCCTAAAGATGGAACATAGGGAGGGGCAATTTTATCAAGAAAGTGTTCAGCTGTATCTCGTGCAATGCGAAAGGAAGTTGATGGAGAACACCCAGATCTATACCCATTAATGTTTCTCCACACCTTTGAAGCTGGAGTAGATGGAGCCAGGGCGGAGCAGAATTTAGCCCAACCGAACAGAATTTAGCCCAACATTTGCGCTTCTTATTTCGCAATAATCTCTTTGCACTGGCAAAAGTATTTTTATAAATTAAAAGGTTTCGGTGTTCATATCCAGGTTGTATTTTTTTCTGCCTCTTTTCTTTTTTTAACAGCTGTGGTGCATTCACTGTCCCACCAGGGTGGAGACGAAATTTTACCTCTGCTAGTATTTATAATTTTTAAGCAGGAATCAGCGGTGAATTTCAGAGCTTGCACCAATTTTTCATAACACTCATTCACATGGCAGTGATCGTCATAAGTTAAGTTTCTAAAGTCCAAATCAGGAAGGGTGCTTACTTTTTCTTCTAGCAAAGTGGTATATATTTGCCAGTCTGGTTTTGAAAGATTGTATTTTAAAAGGGGTGGAAGAGTGTTAAGGTAAATTATGTCTACTGGGTAGGGAAATTATAATTGGGTAATGATCGCTGCCATGTGATAAGCCTGTGCACTGCCAGCTAGCTGATGCTGCAATGTCAGCAGAGCAAAATGTCAAATCTACACAGCTTTTATGCTGCCTGGGCAGAATTCTTCGTGTTCAGGAACCATCATTCAGTATGCAAAGGTTTAACTCGTCTAAAATATCCACTAGGCCAGTGCTGAAAGAGTCGCACCGCTCAGAACCCCATCTATAATGGTGGCAATTAAAGTCATCCATAACCAATACTGGACCATGAACATTTTCTAGAATGTTTTTTAAAATTGGGAGGAAATTTTTATTAGGGTAAGCAATATATATAGACATAACTGTCAAACCATTAACTTTCGTTCTGATGATATTCATATCGTCTGGGAAAGATGGAGTGGGGAGAGTTGAAATGGGAACACGATTATCAATTAGGAGTGCAGAACCTCCATATCCATCAGGCCTGTCACAGCTGAGGATGTTTTAATGGGGAATGTTAAAGTTGAGACTAGGCAGGAGCCAGGTCTCTACAATAGAACAAACTAAGGGTTGGTATTTATTAAGTAGAAATATACGGTCGTGCTTTTTATAAAACACGCTCCTCACATTCCACTGTAGGAACACTTGGTTGGAAGCCATATTTATAAGAGGTAAGAATTTTTAACAGGTGATTTGCAACGTTGGACGGTGTTTGAGTAGAAGATAGCGAGGCAGATAGAGGAATATTTGAGGTGATTAGTGAAGTCAGTAACTGAATTAAACTGTCAATTAAAGAAGACTCTTGTAAGGGACTGTTAAGGGCACAACCATTGGGTTGTGAAGGTTGAGGAGTATTAATAAGACCCTGATGAGCGGCTTTATCATAGGATGTGGGTAGAGGGGTACGTGATTTGGGTTCACGGTAAGCGGTTTTACGGTAGGACTGTGAAAGAGTTTGCTGGGTCTGTGGAGTTTTAGTGTGTCGGCATAGCTACGAGTACATGCAGGAATGCTTTTACTGGCTTCTATGTAGGAAATGTTTTTTTCTGCCATGGCTGTTTTTATAGCCCTCTGCCTGCCATACACGCAACAAGATGGACAAGCCCTGCTACTAGCAAAGTGAGCTCCAGAGCATAAGACACAAAAGGCCTCGCTCTCTTGTACTTCACAGCTGTTACTAGGGTGATCATATCCACATTTACTGCATCGAGGTTTGGATCTGCAGATAGATTCTACATGGCCAAACCTGCAACACTTTCTGTATTGTATGGAGGGATAAATATATAGTTGCACAGGAAGGGAGGTGTAGCAGCAAAAAACTTTCTTTGGCAGGACCTGACCATGAAATGTAAGAACGCAGGTTTCTGTGGATTTCCACTCAACAATACCATCTCTAAAAGTTTTCCTATTAAGTCTTCTAACTTTTAGGATTTTACCACTGGTGTCACTGTTACATACTTACAAATATCATCTTCTGTCATGTCTGTCGGGATGCCAGATACAACACCCATTCTTGTTATGTTAAATGATGAGATAGACGCTTCAAATTTATGATTGACAAGGAGGGCATTAAGCAAAAATGAATTTGCATCGTGAGGCGTTGCAAATTCCACGGAAACACGATTTCTACCTACTTTTTTGACACCATCTTTCACCACGTTGGATATATTACTTTTAAAAAGGAAAAGACCAAAGGACACCGGATGAAGAGTTGTGCCAGCGTTTGGTTGGGATTCAATTCGCGATACGTGAACAATGAAAGGACCATTGTCATTTACGTTATATTTCGCACGGCTGACTTGGCTTTTTAGCTGTTTCGGCGGATGATTTAGGGTTATTTCGTAATCAACCAAACATTTACGTAAACCAGAAGCGCGGGGAAGGACATTTTCGGGTTGTGAAATATTAGAGATGATGTTGGCAAACGTTGAAAGAGGGTTCGGAGGGGTACCGGGTTGAACAAGAGAATAAGAAGTCCTGGAAAAAGGGGGACTACGTGGGGTCGTTTTATCAGGAGGATCAGGAGGTTTGTCATTGTTAGCACTTGAGACACAGTTAATCAAAACACAAACACACACTATAATCAGACTTCACACTTGAAAATTTTGTCATCGATGGTTTTTTTTTTCGCACAGAGCACTTTTATTTTAGTTTTAATATAGGTTTTGATATCAACAAATTTGTAATTGACGTCTTCTACGCAGTTTTCTTCTCAACGTCCAAGTAAATTTCATAAATATTTTTAATATGTTTTCGAAGAGGAAATTTTTGACAGCTTTTCTCGGTAGTTCTAAAACAATCCTTCGACTGCACCATTGTACATTATTCCGGCATTGGATGCCAACACCATAGACTACCATTGTTGGTCAGCAAAGTTTTTTTAAAAACGGCCATCTCTAGTCATAAACAAACGCATGATATAAACACACTGTAGAATATGTAAAGTCGTCACAAAATAAGAAGCCCGTTTTGACGTCTCTCATTTGACATGCCGCGATAACTTTGTATGAACGTCTATGTAAGAAATTGAAAAATCAAATCCATAATCCTATTTAATTACTATGTTACCCATACACTATCACAACGCGTATCATAAATAAGCATCAAGTTTAACTTTATATTGAAAAAATGCACTCAAAAACACGAATTAATCGTTGATTAATATTCCGACAGGACTTTACTACAATGTCATGTCTTTGGGTTGGTTGCCGTAGTGTTGAAACCGTTAAAAAAACTGTTTTATGGCCAAATAAAATAGAGTTTCTGAAAATCGTTTACAAAAATTACTTAAAAAAAAGAGATAAATGTGTAATATTTAATATTGTATAGTGTATTATTTAATATTTAAACATATAAAAACAAAATCTGATCACATATAGTTTTAGCTTTATTTTGATATTTAATATGAATATTTTGATATTATACTAAATGATTTGGTTAAAAAACCCAGAGTGGACTTCGGGTTTTTTAACCAAATCATTTCATCATGATATTGAAAAAAATAATTCATCCTCATTTTTCTGTCTCAAACGTCATGTCTCATTTTGCAACAGTCACATTTGACAACAGTCACATTTGACAACAGTCCTTAAAAGTCAGTCTGTAAAAGAATTATCAAAGCCGTACATAATTTGTTTCCTTTCTCTATGTACCTATAGAATGGTTTGTCTATAAGACGCGAAAAATAATAAGGAAGATTATTATAGAAACGTCAATATTGATAATATTATAGAAAATGAAATAATTATATATACAGGCGACGATAGCTCATCTGGCTCGTCATCAGAAGAAAATGATTGATTTCACTTTTCTTGATTTTGTTGTGATTGAGCTAAATTTTTAAATTAAAGACAAATTGACATTTCTTTCCATTGTATCATTTCAAATTGCCTATAACATTAAAGTTTAAGTTATATGTTCTAATTATAACTTAAATCCAATGCACTTTGTGATATATAGTCAAATCAATCAAATACTCTACAAGCTTGAATCGATTTATCGTAAGTATCGTAGTCGTATGGTTAATCACTAGTTACGCCACCATGACAAATGTCAAAACGGGCTTCTTATTTTGTGACGACTGTAACAAGTCTATAATTTTAATAAGTAAGAGTAAGTTTTCTGTGTGTGTACACGTGAGATAGTCTTCAAACTTTTAAATGTGTTTAAAGTTAAAAGCCTTCCTTGAAGTGTGATAAATAATAATAAATCATTGCGTTAACGTTTTTGACGCTTAAAATAAAATAATAAGGAATAATACTGTTAGAACTTTATCTACATTCTCTTACATATACGTAAAGAATATTATCACTTGATAAATTCTACTGTTACTAAATTAGTATGGGGAAAACATCTAAAGACAAAAGAGATATATATTATAGGTTAGCAAAGGAAGAAGGATGGAGAGCCAGAAGTGCATTTAAATTACTACAAATTAATGAAGAACATAATATATTTAATGGTGTAACACGAGCAGTAGATCTTTGCGCTGCCCCTGGTAGTTGGAGTCAAGTGTTGACAAAGAATTTGCGTCAAAACGTAGAAAATGCGGACGACGTCAAAATTGTGGCAGTGGATTTGCAAGCCATGGCTGCTTTGCCTGGTGTTATACAAATACAAGGCGATATCACAGAAGTTTCAACTGCAAATTCTATAATTAAAGAGTTTGAAGGACATAAAGCTGATTTAGTGGTGTGCGATGGAGCTCCAGATGTCACTGGTCTGCATGATATAGATGAATATGTTCAATCACAGCTTCTTTTGGCTGCACTTAATATAACAACACATGTTTTAAAAAGTGGGGGAATTTTTGTTGCAAAAATATTCAGAGGAAAAGATGTATCTCTTTTGTATTCTCAGTTAAAACAATTCTTTACATATGTGACAGTTTCTAAGCCCAGGAGTTCTAGAAATTCAAGTATAGAAGCTTTTGTAGTGTGCAAAGATTATCAACCACCAAAAGGATATGTATTAAACATGGTAAATCCCCTACTAGACCACAAGTATTGTGATTTCAATGAATTTACAGGGCCTAATAGATTTATAGTACCATTTAATGCATGTGGAGACTTGAGCGCATATGACTCTGATACATCGTATTCACTATTATTAGAAGGGCAAACATCATATAACTATAAAAAGCCAGTTCAGGGCCCTATAAATCCACCATATAAGGAAGTTATAGAAAAGTGTAAAAATCTACAACTTTGAGTTCAAATACAATATATTTCATGTGTTGACAAGGTCTGTTTTTTATTTCAATCCATATCCTCGTAATCATTATACTATTGTTAGAAATTCTACCAGTCAAAATCCAAAACAAGTTTTTCAGTAAAATTATGTTACTTAAGTAACTTATTCTATAGTTATTGAACTAAAATGTTAATTTCCAGTGACCCTACACGTCCAGCGAGCATGGGATGACATTGGAGCTAAGAGACTCCTTAAACAAATGTTGGATACTGCTAGGGGTACTGATGTGGCAAGACTGAGGGCCGTATCGCAGTCAGAGTCATGGTTACATGCACTCACATCGCCTCACTTGGGCACCTTGCTAGACGGCGACTCTGCGTGTGGCAGTGGCTCTCCGCCTGGGCAGCCCAGGCGGAGAGCCACTGCCACACGCAGAGTGTGTGCAGAGGGTGTGCAAACCACATAGATGCACCTGCGGTGCCATGGTGGGGGCCGATGGTCTTCACGCACTGAGTTGTCGTCGCTGCGCAGCTAGATTTTCGCGGCATCATGCCCTAAATGACATAGTCCGAAGGGCACTTATATCCGCCAATGTACCCTGCGTGCTGGAGCCATCGGGTCTCAGCAGATCTGACGGGAAGCGGCCGGATGGCTTGACTTTGGTGCCGTAGAAAAACGGCAAGTGCTTGGTATGGGACGCTAGCCTACATGCGTTAGCACAGTCGCGGCCTCACATCTGAGTCGCACTGTCCAAGCTCCGGCGGCGGCGGCGGAGGATGCCGCTAGTAGGAAGCGATCAAAATACGCCGCAATGGAGACGCATTATTATTTTGTGCCTATTGCGGTGGAGACTTTGGGCAGTTGGGGGTCGGAAGCTAAACACTTAATTGCGGAGATTGGTCGCCGAGTTAGGGATAAAAGTTGTGACTCCCGCTGCGGCTTGTTTCTGGTGCAAAGGATGTCCGTTGCAATTCAACGAGGCAATGCTGCCAGTATCATGGGCATCTTTGCACCGGGAGCGACGCGGGGCGGGTTATATGATCTGACTTGAATAAAAAATAATATTAATTGTAATTGAAATGTATGAAATAAAAATAAACAATTGAAAATAATTAACAAAAATTCATATTATTCTATTATAAGTTATATAGGGCCCTTTTTTTTCCGTGCGGCGGTTCCGTTTCTAGTAAGACTGCTAAAATAGTTGATGAGTTTTACAGACAAAAATTAGGTGTTTGCATATTTTGGCACAGAATATTGTTTAAAAATTACCTTGTACTTATTAAATACATAAAAATTCAGTGAGTTGTCTATTCTTTAAAATCCTAATTTTTCACAAATATGTATAATATAAAAAGACTTGTGTTGCTAACGATGATCCAGAAGTAAAATAGGAGATTCATCCACTTAATTGTCTGCTTAATTTTCTCAGATTTTTTACTTTAAATAAGCACGTCCACAGTGCATGTACCATATGTGGACCACTATGAAGACATCATCATACGTGCATGCACCACAAATGTCCTACGAGTTTATCTAAATTCAATGGTTTTTTTAAGCTTGCATAAGTTACGAATATATTTAAATAATTAAGGCAGTGACGTCCGAACTGAACTACATGCTTGTATGAAAAGAAGCACAATTCATTTAAGCTTGAATTTTTGGCTGCAGATTGGTAAAAGTTTCGATTGTACTTATTAGCAATTAAAACTCATTAAAATTTGTGCCCATTGTGCCATTAAAATGTGGGACAAATCAAATATACCTGATTGTTGTCAGCAATTATCAGTTATAGGTACTGAAAAAGACATGTGCAGATCAAGGTTCAACATGTACGGTTATTTGTAGTCTTATGGTTTTTTTACAGAATTCCTATAATAATAATAAAATAATAATATTCCACCACATACACACAACGCCATCTAGTCCCAAACTAAGCAGAGCTTGTACTATGGGTACTAGACAACTGATATAAATACATATATACTTTTTTTGTAAATACATACATATTATACATAGAGACACCCAGACCAAATCAAACATCAAATGTTCATGCACACAAATGTTTGACTTGAGCGGGAATCGAACCCGCGACCTTTGGAATAGCAGTCCGTTACACAAACCACTACGCCATCCAGTCGTCAATATTTATGTAATTATGTAAAATCAATCACTACATTTTTTTTATAATTATATATATAAATATATAATTGTATAATTCGTAACTATACTCTATTTTGGTTTGTATAATAAAACAAGCTTTTTAAAAATAAGACATACAGAATCGACAGTTTTCGGATATTACTCGGTTCGATATTCAAATATCACCCGGAAATACGATTTGGGGCGTCTGGATCCGGTCTTGACTTGTTTTTGACACTTGATACTTTTTTTGTTGTAAATAGATACCTACTTGTTACACCTAGAAATAAACAGATCAAATAAAACATAAAAAAATAAAATAAATTAATGCACACAAATGTTTGACTTGTGCGGGAATCGAACCCACGATCTTTGATCGTAGCAATCCGTAACACAAACCACTACTCCATCCAGCCGTCAACTCAATCAGTGCTTCAATAGTGATGCTTAGAGAACGTTTAGTCCAATCCTTTATTTTTTTCTAATAAGTAAAGGTTTTGCAGTTTTCAATAGTTTCCAGCATTGTAAAACAAGTCTAATTATCAATGAAATTAGTTATGATACCTATGATATTGCACTAAGCGATAAGGCCGCCCTTTGTACATTACATCTGTTGTTAATTACTTTATAATGTCTGTAAAACCCTGGTGTACAAAAAAAGTATTTATCTATCTATGATAAGTGACGCTGACCCAAAGAGACAGAGGCAGTTTAGTAGCATTTGAAATGTGGTGCTGTAGACAAATGATGAACATCAGTTGGATGGACCAAAGAACCGAGGAGGAGAAAGAGAAAGAAATGAGGAGGTCCTGCTAATGGTGAGCGACTAGAGGCAATTGTTGAATGCAAGTGAAAACAGAAGAGGCAAAATGGTTAGCCACCTAATAAGGCACGACCACTTCTTCAGAATAATACTGGAAGGAAAAATAGAAGGCAAAAGATAACGAGGACGGCCTAGATTAACATACATTAAGCAAGTGAATTAGAAAGTAGGAGTCGTGGCATATCAGGAGGTCAAACAGATCGCAGGAAATAGAGAGGAGTGGCAATTGCTCTTGTATTGGACAGGGGCTTGGCTCTTGAATTAAGATAGAGAGAGAGACATAGGTCTGAAACTGTTATTATCATAGGATAATAACAGTTTAAAGTGACATTAAAAGAAATTAGTTCCAATTGTTTTTCACAACACAGTGAAACTATAAGGGATTATGGAACCTGGAAGGTTTAAGCCAAAAAAGTTTTACTTTCGCCCACTAGCTACTTAAAACCTTGCTTCTGTAATTCCATAGATCAAAATCCCTCAATTGTTATCTATCATAGATAATTAGGCAATACATTCAAATTTTTCTTCCGTAGGCAAAATTTCAAAATTTTAAATTATAGTTTAATAAACTAATTCTGACTTATTATTGACCAAATTTATAGTGGGTAGTTCACAATGGGCAAGAAGAAGTTTAAGATGCCTACGGTTCAACAATTTCTGGATAAAAAGGTACAGTTGTAAAATTCGTGAAAGTAGTTCAAAACTAGGCACCAACTTTTAATTTTCAGAGATTTTATAGTTTACAGAAACAGCAGACTTTTGAGCATCAAGTGTGTCAGATTCTCATCTATAATAAAAATGAAATTTTATCGTTATAAGAAAACTTAAGTGCGAGTGCAAGCTATAACTCAGGTTTTTGGGAAATGGCGCCTACCTTGTGAAAATCGGTTCCATTCTTGTATCTTTTACAATCACAAAAGTTAGCACTAAACCAAATAATGTTATCATTTTTTATATTTTAGAGGTTATATAGTAAAAAGAAAGATCTAGAATGGGTTTATTTAGAAGAAGAAATGCTTAAAAATCAAGACAAGAAGCCATATAACAAGAAAGTTCATGATTGGCTCCAGTATTTAAAGGAATTGCGACATTATTACCATGCTGAAAGTAAGTAAAGCTTTGTGTATGTACATACTTTCTATTTGAACGTCAAACACATATAGAAACAATAGATTTCTTTGCTTTGGTCACGACGGTGTCATGATTCTAGACATACACGAGCTAGTTATGTATAACTTTCCTTTAAAACTTTCACAGGCGTTCGTAAAGAGAAAAGGTTACTGAGAGAAGCCGGCCCCTCTTGGTACTGCGAGTTCTCCACTGCCCAAAGGGCTGTTTTGGCCCAACTTAAAGCCTATATACACCAGGACTTACTAGAAGACATTCCTCGGCGGACGCGAAAGGCTTTACACGATCTTGGTCTAACGCAGCTTGCAAATAAAATTCCCAAAAATGTATTACTAAAGACACTTGGAGATTCTAAGGAGGATCCGGGGGTGTTTATATGGAATCTTTACACTGCAGTTTTCAACCAATCTCCTAGCGAATTGCGATTCAGTGAGTTTGAAGTTGTCACCATAACTTTTAGTCCTGTAGGTATTATGCATAGACAACTACTGTAAAGTGCTGTCTGAATCTGTCCATATAAGTTAACTATAATTCCACTTTTACATTAAAAAACCTTTTTGCCAGCCCTACTGCTACAGTACCTGTGCTTTACTATCTGCATTCTTAGGAATCGGAATGGCAGAGAATTGATTCTGAAATTAAACTCCGACAAACCCGACAGCATGTTTCGTTTATGTTATAGCAGAAATACATCATCTGTGAAAAAATGTAATTGTCTAACTATCACGGTTTATGAGATACAGCCTGGTGACAGACGGAGAGGCAGACAGACGGACGGCCAGCGGAGTGTTAGTAATAGGGTCCCGTTTTACGCTTAAAACGGAACACTAAAAACCTTATTAAATGTCTGGGCGCACATTTCTCATTTAAATAATACAAAATAATGTGCCCTAGTAGTAGGGTGTAGTAGTAAAATTCTGTCGTCGATTCACTCATTAATGAATCGTTCTTTTAAAGGTTTAGTCGTTGAACAAGTAATAAACGAAATATTCTGTCGGCGACTCCTTCGTCAGATAAATGTTTGTCGGAGTTAAATTTCAGAATCCAGAGAATTATATTTATAGAACACAGCTTGATTTCTATATCATTTCCGAATACCTAAAAAATATGGCATTTTAGGGAAAATTGATTAATTACTTAACAATATAAAAATGCACTGTAATGTGCGTTTTTTAATGTTTTATAATACGTTTATTTTGTTGTTAACAGAATATGACACAACCGGAAGGATTTTAATGTCGTGTTTAGTGTTTATTGATTTAGAGGATTGCGTTGAAAAATTAGAGAATTTAACGCGTTACAAAAAGGCGCCTCCGATAGTGAAAGAACCGAGTAAGTAGTGTTTAATTGTAAAAATACTACTTTCTAAAATGTAGTTATAATAGGTTTGTGCATATGAGCTGTTTAATCTATGGGCGATGCGGCGACGCTTGTAAATCTATTAATCATTGTGGTATGTATAAAAATGTACCTACATAAAAGTGTGATGTTGCATTTAAAAGAAAATCGAAATACCAAATAAAGGAGAACAATTTTACTAAAAGTAAAACTAAATAATATCAATTTTTTAAAAGTAAGTTTTATATAAATATATGTATATAGGTATATAGTTATATATTCTTAAGAAATATATTTCATAAGTTAACCTTTAACCTATGCAAGTACATACAAAGTACTAGGATTTGACGAATGATGCCCCTTTTTTTTTTTTTTTTTTTTCCGTGCGGAAATCCCCTCGGATACCACCTGTCGGTGGCATGTCGGACACGAACCGACTAAAACCGCACGCCTTCGCCGGGTACTAATAGCCGGGGAACCAGGTATACCCTAGAAAGGAAGGCCCTGGTGCCCCGACATACCTCGGGTCATCTACAGACGAGTAGACGACCCCCGCCCCGTGTGGGAACCCCATGTTCCCTGTGCTCCCTGGAAGCGAGCGCGCTTCGCAACGCGCTCGCCGCCACCCCGGCCTGCTTCTGCTAGGGTGACAGATGGCCTCACCTGTCACTCCCAGGCCTGCGCTTATGGAGGACGGAGGTCATTCTGCGACCTCCGGCGCCTGAGTCGCCTGCGCTGCCTGGCCCGTGCCCGGGCCTGGCGGGCCGGGAGAGTTCTAAACCTCTCCCGGTCCCGCTCCGCCGTCTCCTTCGCGAGCATAACTTGCTCGCAGAAGGAGACGGCAGAGTTCCACGCACTCTCGCTCCGCACGATAGCCGCAATCAGGCTATCGAGCGAGAGAACTCCCACTCCGATGGCCGCCACGAGGTCTCGCCTCTGCTCAACCCACGCCGGGCACTCTGCCAGCGTGTGGAGAGCCGTGTCCACGGTCTGGCCATCGCAGTGGTGGCACTCAGGCGTTGGCTCCTTGCGGATCAGACACAGGTGATCTCCGAAACATCCCTTCCCAGTGATCACCTGCGTCAATCGGTATGAGAGGGTCCCGTGACGCCTCTCGAGCCAATCCTCCATAACGGGTCTTACCGCCGCAATGACGGCGTGCCCAGCGCTCGGTTGCCCGAGTCGTTCCCTCCACTCCCCTATGATGACCTGGCGGAGTTGGGATTTCCGGTCATCGATTTCTCGAATCTCGGGGCATCGACCCAACTCCTGCGCCTCCTTGCGCCACTGATACAGTGCCGCAAGGGCTCTCGCCTCCAGGTCCCACGGTGGAGTTCCGGCCAGGAGACTCGCTGCCTCAAAGGAGATCGTGCGGTACCCCCTTATGATCCTGATGGCCAGCATTCGCTGCGGTCGTCGCAGTATCGCGACGTTGCTGGCCTTCAGGGCCTCCGCCCATACCGGGCACCCGTAAAGGGCCATGGACCGCACAACCCCCGAGTAGAGTCTCCTGCAGGAGTCATCGGGTCCCTTCATGTTGGGCAGCAGCCGCGCCAACGCACGCGCTGCCCCAACCAACTTGGGGACCAGACCTCGGAAATGATATCCGAAGTCCCATCGGCCATCGAGTACGAGCCCCAGATACCTGATCGAGGGCTCGATGCCGATGCGAGTGCCTCCTACCGTGAGACTAGATCCCTCAGGCGGCTTCCTCCGAAGCCCGTGGAAGAACAGGGCCTCGGACTTGTGCAGAGCCACCTCGAGACCCAGCCGCCGGATACGCTCAACGACTTGGGCAACCCCGGCCGTGGCCCTCAGGGTTGCCTCGTAGTGCGTCTTGCCGCGCGCCGTCACGAGTGTGTCGTCCGCGTAGCACACGACGGCGACACCATCCAAGAAGGTACCACGAAGCACCCAGTCGTAGCCGATGTTCCACAAGAGTGGCCCTAACACCGACCCCTGCGGAACACCGCACGACATTTCACGCCTACCGACACCGGTCCTACTGGGGTAGACGACGGCTCTCTCCGACAAATATGCCCCGACTATGCGGCGGAGGTAGAGAGGCACTTCGTGATACACGAGCGCCTCCCTGATGCAGCTCCAGGGCATAGTGTTGAACGCGTTGGCGATGTCCAAGGACACCGCCAACACCACTTCACCCCGGGAGACTGCTTCCTCCGCCAGAGCCTTCACGCGCATGATCGCATCCACGGTGGAGCGCCCCTGACGGAAACTGTACTGGTTGTCCGCCAGATCCGGCCCAACCATCACGAGATGCTTGACGAGGCGCCTTGCAATCACTCTTTCAAAGAGCTTGCACACCTCGTCAAGCAACACTATGGGCCGGTAGGCGGACGGTGAGTCCGCCGGGCGCCCCTCCTTTCGGATGAGGACCAATTTCCCCGTCCTCCACAATTTCGGAAACACGAATGATGCCCCTGTAAACATAGCTAGTTTAAAATATGTAAATGCCATGTTTTTATAGGCAATAACTTTTACATATTCCACATACAGCCATCTGATCCCGACCTTATTAAAATACGAAATAAATTTAGGGTTCAATTTAGGGTATTTCCACGAAATTTAAAAAGGGTCGTTGTAAAATCACTTTACAAGAAAGACGAAACAAATGAAATGCATAATTACCGGCCTATCGTTAAAATACCCATATTTAAAAAAAAAAAACATTGCAAAAGGTATATATAATTCCATTTACCACTTTTTTACTAAATATGTATACCTAAACTTTCTTGCAATTAACAAAAAGGGTTCAAGAAAAACACAACTATAAATATAGCTATTTATTATTAAGTATTATGAAAATTGTTGACCAAAAAAACTCCCATTTGTCGTCCGTGGTATGGAGAGAAAACATGAAGGGGAGGAGGTATGGCTGGTGTATAAAAAGAGGAAATCAAAATAATAAATATAAAAAGTGATAAATACAAAATAGTATCTATTTGAATGGACTTGGAATGTACTGAATTTTTTAGGATTTGCCCTAAAAGTAAATCATAAAAAAGTACGAGTAGGTATGTGTCGAAGCCGCGGCGCGTCCAATATGGCGTCCCTCCGGGAAGCGTACTGGGACCGTTACTTTTCCTAGTAAATATTAATGATTTACCAAAATGTACAGTACAACTAATGGTCCTCTTTACTGATGATAGCACATGTGTCATCAAAGGCTCTGACTTAAGTACATATAAAATTTACATTGATATTATTTTTTGTTTATTGATTAAAAAAAATGGAATAGGGGATCAAACGAGCAGACGGGTCACCTGATGGAAAGCGACTACCACCGCCCATGAACGCCTGCAACTCAGGCGTTACAAGCGCGTAACATAATAACACATAACATTATACATTGACTTGATAAAAATAACCTGATAATAAATCTAAACATAATAAAAATCATGCATTTCCATTGAAGACGTGAAAACGTGTTTTAATCAATAAAGATTACGAAATTGAACGAGTACATGAGGCCGAATTCTGAATATAACAGTCGATCACCAACTCACTTGGAAGCACATGTAGAACAGGTGTGTAAAAACGGTAGTAAATCTGCGTATGTACTATCACAGAGGGAAGTTAGTAATGGTGTTTTGTTAACTGCGTATAATTTGATGATAGCTTCAATTTTTAACTGACTTCCAAAACACAAAAGAGGAGGTTCTCAATTCGTCTGTTTTTTTTTTTTTATGTATGTTTGTTACGCGATTTCTCCGTCAAATGTGGACCGATTTTCAAAATTCTTTTTGTAATCGAAAGGGTATGCTCCCGAATTGGTCCCATTACCACCAATTCTGATGATGGGATCCTAGAGAAATCGAGGGAAACCCTCACATTATTGGAAATTTGACAGCCCCGACAACGTGTTTTAGCTACGAGTATTTCTTTAGCCAAACAAACCATGGCAACCGTCAGAGACTGCGCGATGTGATGCGCAGAGAACTTGCAGTATTTATGTCACCACAGTAATTTTCGTTGTATTAAGAAGAAAAGGTTGAAATTTTGTATTCTATCTTGTTAAAATAATTCGGATAGACGTTTAGTTGCATCGTAATTATCTACTCATTACAAACATATCCTACACTAAATGGTAAAATAAACCCTTTTAAAAAAAAAGTTGAACCGACTTCAAACAACACCGACAGAGAGCACTAAAATTAAAAAAATATTACAAATCTAAGTAAAAAACTATAATAAGTACCCTCAATGTAACAGGTAACATTATAATACCAATAGTCCCTTCTAGTCTGTTTGAAGTCGGTGCCAAGCTCGATGCACAATAAGTAATACTGGTCTATGTCAGCCTTATATTAGCACAATGAAAAATTAAGAATTTAAAATAATTCTAATGAAACATCGAAGATTTTGTTAATTAATAAAGACCAACCAGATCAAACTTATCAACTACTTATTAAAGCATTCAAAATAATAACATAATTGGAGATGTGCGTCCACTTTAGCTCGTTCAACATGTTTTGCGCAGCATGAAGACTGTTGCAGCTGCCGCGCTACATTCTACCATGCCTATCAAGCACCTATTTGGCTTGGCACCGACTTAATAATAAATATTCTTGAAGCTGACTCTCGTCTTATCTTCTCCGTTTATAAATTGAAGAAAATATAGTTTTTAGCTGGAGATGAGACGATTTGAGGGTAGTTTAAAAAATCCCGGTATTGTCCCGCAAGGCTGTGTGCTATCACCCAAACTGTTTCTTCTAGTAAACTAGTTGCATTACTACTAGTAGGTGCTATTGCTATGCGGATGATAGTACGGGAGATGCCCTTTATACCGGCTGCCCCAATATTTCTTAAGAAAACGTCATCGAGAGTCCAAACAAACTTGTGTCTGAAATTGAAACTTCCCTAGCAGAGGTTTCAGATTGGGGTCCAATCTAGTCCATTTCAACCCAAAAAAGACACAGGTTTGCGCAATCACTGCAAAAAAAAACTCGGCTTGAAAGCACCTCCCTAACTGCCCCAGCCAATATCGGAATCCTAGGCATCGACATATAGAGCGAAAGCCAGTTTCAGGGCCACGTAGAGAGTAAGGTCAAATTAGCCTCGAATAAGGTCGGTGTGCTGAACACATGGAGGCAGTATTTCACTCCGGTCCACCGTCACCAACTCTATAAGGCGCAAGTTCACCTGCATATGGAATACTGTTCTCATCTCTATGCAGGGACACCCCAGTACCATCTTCTCCCTCTGGACCTCATTCAACGAAGAGTGACTCGAATCGTCGATAGCCAAAAGATGTAAGAACGGCTCGATCCCTTGACGTTACGTAGAGATGTAGCTTTACTCTGCATTCTCTATCGTACATATCATGGAGAGTGCTCCGAGGAAGCTCAGACTAATAATGGCCGCAACTTTCCACCATCGTTCCACTCATCAAATTTTTTATCCCTATCACTTGGTTAATTGACACTCCTCTACAGTGCGCTTTTCAATACACTTTTTGTCTCGCGCAACCGCAATTACAATCAAATGGAACCCACGACCTGACTGCTGAATTTGTTCAGAAGTCAGTATTATTAACCACTGGACCAACAGGCTAGGTGCATTTTTTTTTTACACATCTCACACACGGCCGTCTGATCCCAAACCAGGCAGAGCCTGTACTATGGTAATCAGACTACTGATCAACATGCTTATACATTTTTAAATAGATACAAATTATAGATAAACTGCACCCAGACACAGAACAAATGACCGTGCTCTTCACACAATATTTGTCCTGGGTGGGTATCGAACCCACGAACTCCGGCTTAGCAGTCAGGGTCACTAACCACTAGACCAACAGGCCCGTCAATTTTGATCCCTATTTCTTTTTTAATTTTTATATTGTATTGCAGAAAAACAGCAGTACTATGAACCAAAAGTGAGATACGGACAGTACTTACAACGAATGTACGTTCCGCTATACACTACTGTTAAAAAGAAGAAGAAGCCAGAACCTTTACCTCTAGGAAACAAATTACGACTTAGGAGTAAAGAAGTAAATACTTGTCCATCAATAGTTATATCAATGAAAGTTACATCAAATATTTTCGTAGAAATGAAAGTAACCACAAAAAAAATACATATTATATATATATATATATATATATATATATATATATATATATATAATACCAAAGAATATATCGAAATAATTATGAAAAGGTTTACAAATAAAAAACGGGACACAAGATGTTTTAACTAATTGTAACTCATATTAGAGTTATTGTTAAAACATTTATGTTTTTAAGTTTTATGTTTTATTTATGGTTTTAAGTTAATAAAGAGTTAAAAATCACTCTGTTACTTCTCAAAGTAATTTTAAGAATCAGAAGAAATTAAACAAAGGACTTCAATTATGTCATATATTTATTTACAGAGCTACGAAGACTTAAGGAAGGATACCGGCTTTGTAAGTCATATATTTTTTTATTATATTTTATACGTAGTATTTTATTTATTTACATAACAGTTCACATGATTTACAGTTGGTAAAACGATTACTAAGAAATCAGCATGAACAACAACAGGAGAGAGTTTGTAATTATAAATTCTGGGAACCACCTAGTACTTTGCGTAAGATTACAATTGTTTATGTTTTCTGTCTTTCTTAGTAACAGTGTTAGTCTAACCGAGTAGTATTTTTTTGTGCATGTTAACACCCTCTCGAGCCATCGCCCTATTGGGGGTTTGCGGTGGAGTTGGTGTGTCTTCTTCCTCTCGCATACCTCTTCGGACGGGAGCTACTCCCGCTTTTCCGTCCGACAGCCGAGTAGTTATAATAGCGTAATTGATTGAGCTTGATTGATTGATAATGTGCGACTGCGATATTAAAAAACTGTCTACATCTCTATATAGTTCTACTTGCATTTAGCACATATTCCTTACTATAAGGGGAGTCTGAAATGCAGTAGAAATATTCATCAAAAGCTCTCTAAACAGAGTGATAATTGGAAGTTTGAGGATGCCAAATCAAGGGAATAGAGAGCGATGTTCTAGAAAATCATTGCCAAAAGCACGCAGTTTATTAAATACCAGTTTATTAAATGTGAGCAGGTGCATTGTCTTGATGAAATATGTTTGTTTTTGTTTGTCTAGACAGGCCTCTTCTCGTGAATTTTGGAACAACTGATCAAAAAGTTAGCTAAATATTCACCTGTAATTGATTTACCTCTTTTAATGTACCTAATCAATTAACAGCATTTCTTACATATTATAAAAATACACACTGGCCATTACCTATTTTTTTACCTTGTTTCTTTGACTCCATTGAGTGGCTTCCATCCACTATTTCGCGTGCTGGTTCAGTTTACATCATTCTAATCCATAGTATTAAGACAATTAAATGCTCCAGGAGCCCTGATTTTGTGTGCCTAATTCTTCGTTTAAGATGTTTTTGTACCCTTTCTTCTGAAATCCCCACGTCCTTAGCTATCTCACTCACCGTAGTGGCAAAATGGCAGATCGTGAAAAACAAAATAACATATGTTATATGTTCGCCTCTATGAAAGCAACCATTATAATAGTAAGTATGTTAATATAAGTATATTTCCACAAAACGGCTCGGAACCTTACTTCAAATTAAACACGAAGACGTGTTAGTGATAAATTCCAGAGATTATCACATTGCAAAATTTCTTTGTAATAAAATTGTTGTACTATGTATTTGCAGATGTAAAACTAATGGAACAATAAAAATAAAATTATAATTTTAGGTAATACCGACCCAAAGATGGTTGCTTATGTGAACAAGTTAAAAATGTTGAAGAGAAAAGCCAAAGCAAAATTTAAGGCTCCTTTCAAAAATGCTCAATTTCAGATTGGAGGTGTTAGTTTTACGGGTGGCAGACCTAACTATTGTGTAAACAGTAAGTTTTTTATTTTAAAGTAAAGTAGCATAGAAAACAGTGTTGTAAAGTAGCATAGAACCCAATATTTTTATAGATCCTTCATTGAAAGGGGATACTTTCTTTTAATTTGGTAAGCGTAGTCCGCAGTCAATGTTTTGGGTGCACTAGAGAAACACTTTAGACAGTTAATCTGGAAGTCCCCGGTAGTAAACTATTATCCTATTCATAGAATTTGTCCCGATTTAAAAAAAACGAATAATTTTTCAACCTGTTCTTTTAGTGTTGTGATGTGAACCTTTTTAGCATTACAATTTTGGTGTTCTTGGACAAGGTGTTTTGCATATATGGTAACCGCGAATCTAATAGTCTGGTGTACTCGTAAATAAACTTGTGACTGAAAACTACCAAAGCAATAAGCAATAACTATTTCATTTTATTAACAACAACACTATTTTAGACGTTGCTCTCCTGCCCTCGGGGTACATTTTAATTAACGCTGGATTAGCCGTTGTTCGTGGAGATTATGTTACTTGCATAGCGGGCTTCTGGATTTACCCGAGAAAAGAGGTTGAAAAGTGTGACGCGAAATGCGATTGTTTGACGAAATGGTAAGAGTTTTTAAATTAGGAAAGTAGCTTCGGTAAACTAGCTTTGCTTCGGAGTTTTTGTGTACGATCAAGTTATTAAATTAAGAAACGACACCTACAGATAAACTTATATAATAATAAAAAAATTGCCAAGCCGTTGCTTAGATAATCAAAAAAATATTTATATATCTACAAGAATTGCTCGTCTGAAGTTACTATTATTTATATAGTCGTGCTGGTGTAACATTGATGTACCAAAAATTATTTTATTTATTAAAAATCACATCAATGTAATTACTCAGTTACATGAAGTGTGACTGTGTATCTATTATTCGTACTTGTATATTGTAGTATCTAAGGTGTCTTGGTTACACATAGGAGAAAAACATTTATATACCCATAGGTATATGTTCATAATTGCGAAGTAATAAACATCAAGCTCAGTGAACAAAAGCGCACAATTCCAAACGCGGTGATGAATATGAACGCTTGTAATACCTTCTGCCTGATGATATAATAATAATGAAGATCGGTTTTTTCCAGCAAGAAAATATTTTTTATTTAAAGGGTTTACGACGACGCGTGAGCCTCTAGTTTTTAAATTTAAACACTTCTTTAGCAAGTAGTGCTATTTTTATTTAAGTAAGTTATAGGTACACTCGACTAAAACACAAAACCCATAATAATTAAATGAATAGCCAAAAGTAGATTATCTGAATAAAAATTGGCGAATCTGTGAAATTAGTTGTAATCACGTGGTTCAAAGGACATACCAATTAAAATGTCCATTCAAAAGATCCAAAATGGATTTTGCTGGACAGAGGGATTGATTTTTTTCCATATTCCTACAAACGATATATGACAAATCTGTTGGTACTAGACCAACAGATCTGTCATATATCGGTTAGTGACCCGGACTGCTAAACCAGAGATCGTTGGATCAACTCCTACCCAGGTCAAATAATTGTGTGATGAGCACGATCATTTGTTCTGTGTCTAATTTATCTATCTGTAAAGTCATTAATATTATTATTATAAATATATATAATGTTCTTCAGGGAACAACCTGTAATGGAATTTTTAAAAGGCACAAAGTGCAAATGCGGCCATCTTTACGATTTATATAATGAGGGTAAACCATCAGAGAAGTTCTTTTATCCGCCGGACAAGCACGGACCATTCTGGATAGACAAGGCGAAAGTTTTCCAAATGGATCCTATGGAAGACTTTATCAAGGATACATTCAGAGAGGGATTGAAGTCTGCTCCTTCTACGGTAAGTGCATTTCCACCCAAATTTTAGACGATGTCAGTTTATTTATATTTCTTTATTAGGTATTTACAAAGAGTTGCCCACTAAAGAAATATCCTATTGACTATGACTTAATGTGCACTCACAGCGTAATCCACAGAATCTATGTTAAGTAATGACAATTTCGTTAGTCAGAACAATGCCCAACCCGTTGTTCTTATCTAATCTCTAACTACTTTGTATCTATTATAAAGCTATGCACGATACTCTGATGACATTCCCATTAGTATATTAAATAACCAACCCGTACAATAAAGATCACCTAGGCAAAGATCATGTCCATGAACCTACTGGCCGACACTATGGGATTTCGTAAGCTATAACTACCTTATTGCCCCTTTTTTGCAGGTTGCCAGTCCAGAACCGTCTATATCAGCGTCTGGATTAAAAGAGAGCGAGCTTTTAGCGGTAACTAGTTTATGTATTTATAATGCGTAATAGTGAAATTGCCCGAAAAAAAAAACCAGTAAACTTGGGTGACTTATCTACTATGAGTCACTCGAGTTTATTGTAGGGGAAGATTCTAACGGTGGTTGGGGGATATAGCGGTCGTGGCCGCTTATTTCACGCCGAACCAAGACATAACTGAGTACGTTGTCGATGCCTGTCGCCCTCACCCGGTTCTTGTGCTCGTGGACTTCATCGCCTGGCCAGAGACCTGGGGTTCCCAGATTTGGCCTAGTTGTCCTAAACCATAGGGCCGTGACCAAGTTAGTGACGGTGAGAGGCAGTTCGGTCGTGGACACCTCGCTAGCTTGTCGTGTCCAGGGCTGGCGCGTTGTTATGAGGCAGGAGACGGGTTCGGATCACCGATGTATTAGGTTTGTGACGTGCCGGTTAGACCGGCTCAATCGTTGGGCGAGCCACGTTGGGCGCTCGAGGGCTTAGATCAGGAGCTTCTCCTGGAAAGCGCCATTGTTCAGGCCTGGGCCTCTGGCCGAACAGACCTGTCGACGTTGATGCCGAGGCACAGTGGTTCCGGGTAGCCATGACCCGCATCTGCGATTCGGCGATGCCTAGCCTGCTATCGCGAGGCACCAGGTTTACTGGTGGTCGCCGGACATCGCACAGCTGTGCCAAGCTTTAGTGACCGCGCGTCACCAGTGGTCCAGGTTCTGCCGAAGGCGTCGCCACCCTCAAGTCGCGGCAAACCGGGAGGCGGAGCTGTTAGCGGAATACAGGGTTACCAAAAGGACCCTTCAGGCAGCGATAAAGCAGGCCAAGAGTGAGGCCCGCAATGAGTTAATCGCCCCTAGCGAATTGATAGGGGCAAGATGCGCCCATAGGCCCTGCCTCTGCCCGGAGTCTTCGTCGTCGGTTCCCTGTTCCCATCGCGTGGAGCACACTGGAGCACACTCCGCCACAGATGAAGGTTTGCTTGAGGCGTCTAACGTGGATGAAATGCGTGACGACGAGGACGAAGAACTTACAGGACCTGGTACACGTAGACAAGAATCAATCTCAAATCATATAGCTGTTCTTGTTAACTAGGTTAATGATCATTATTTTCGGTCAGCAAAGAACTAGTTTCAAACACTACTTCGTAAGAGAATGTCCCTTCACATGGCTAAGTAGCAGAATATTCTTAAACACCTGTGTTTTCTTATATTAGTAAAAGATTATTATAAAACTACAGCAAATAAAATACTAATAGTATTTATTATTGAACTGATTTAAACCCTAAATATTTCATAAAACGTTTCGTTTTTTTTGATTACACACGATAGAAATCTACTTCCAATTTTAAACCGTACTTACCGATGATGCATATTTTATTTTTAATAAAAGATGCTAAGAAGACAAAAACATATTTTTATTCTTAATAGTTCTTATGAATACGTACTCTGGACATTATTAAATTTTTTGTTCACCTCTTAGTATCATAAGTTCAGGTACCCATACCTGAACCTTTGATACCAAGAGGTGAACAAAAAATTTAATAATTTAATAAATTATTAATTGCAGCATTTCGAGCGTCTTGGTTTTTATATTCATTTATAATTCCGAAATTTTGGAAGAGACGGGGCAACTGGTCCTCATCCGAAAGAGGGGCGCCCGGCGGACTCACCATCCGCCTACCGGCCCATTGTGTTGCTTGACGAGGTATGCAAACTCTTCGAAAGAGTGATTGCAAGGCACCTCGTCAAGCACTTTTCCAGAGTGGGACTTGACCTGGCGAATAACTAGTATAGTTTCCGTCAAGGGGGCTCCACCGTGGATGCGATTATGCGCGCGAGGGCTCTGGCGGAGGAAGCAGTTTCCCGGGGCGAAGCGACGCGTTTAACACTTTGCTCTGGTGTATCATCAAGTGCCGCTCTACCTCCGCCAAATATTCGGGGCATATTTGTCGGAGAGAGCCGTAGTCTTCCCAGGTAGGACCGGTCTCGGTCAGCGCGAAATGTCGTGCGGTGTTCCGCAGGGTTCGTGTTAGGGCCGCACAAACATTGGCTACGACTGGGTGCTTTGCGGTGCCATTATTAGATCGTATCACCGTCACGTGTTATGCGGACGACACGACGGACAACGTACCGTGAAGCAACCCTGAGGGCCACGGCTGGGTCTCAAGGTAGCTCTGCACAAATCCGAGGCCTTGTTCTTTCATGGGCCTCGGAAGAAGCCACCTGAAGGATCCAGACTCATAGTAGGAGGCACTAGCATTAGCATCGAGCCGTCGATCTGGGGCTCATAGGCGATGGCCGAAGGGACTTCGGACATCATTTCCGAGATCTGGTCGCAAGTTGGAGGCGCGCGTGCATTAGCGCAGCTGCTGCCCACCATGAGGGAACTCGATGCCTCCTGTAGGAGACTCTACTCGGGGGTTGTGCGGTCCATGGCCCTTTATGGGGCCCCAGTATGGGCGGAGGTCCTGAATACATGCAACAGGGTCATAAGGGCCTGGCCGGAAATCCACCGTTAGACCTTAAGCCGAGAGCTCTTGCGGTTCTATATCAGTGGCGTAAGGACGCGCAGAAGTTCTTTCGGAGTCCTGAGACTCGAGAAATCGAGGATTAGAAATCCCAACTCCGCCAGGTCCTTATGGAGGAGTGGAAGGAATGACTTGGGCAACCAAGCGCCGAGTACGCCGTTATTGTAGCGGTAAGACCCGTTATGGAGGATTAGCTCGAGAGGCATACGCGGGACCCTTTCATACCGGCTGACACTGGTGATCACCGGGAAAGGATGCTTCGGGGATCACCGGTGTCTGATCCGCAAGGAGCCAATGCCTCCACCACTGCGGTGGCCGGACCGTGGAAAGCCGGGCGTGGGATGACCGTGACCTTGTGGCGGCCATCGGTGTGAGAATTCTCTCACTTGGTATCATGAATGCGGCCATGGTATAGAGCGAGAGTGCGTGGAACTCTGCCGTCTCCTTCTGTGAGCAAGTAATGCTTGCGAAGGAGACGACCGAGCGGGAATGCGAGAGGTTTGGAACTCTCCTGGTCCGCCAGGCTTGGGGGCGGGCCAGGTTTCGCATACGACTCAGGCGCCGGAGGTCGCAGGTCTAGGGGTGATAGGTGAGGCCATCTGTCACCCTAGCAGAAGCAAGCCGGGTTGGCGGTGCGACGCACTATGCAGCGCGCGCGTTTAGATTATAGAACGGGAACACCGTGGTTCCCACACACGAGAGGGTCATCTACAAGTCGTAGATAGCTCGGAGTCCCAGCGATTTCCCCTCTGGGGTACACCTGGTTCCCTGGCTAAGATGCTAAATAGGGTTTTACTCGAGCGTTACGGGGAACTATTGCGTTTAAAATATTAGATGATAGAATGAATAAAAGTGATATGTTGCCACTTTAAGCGGTGGGGGAAGCGTCTACAGGTTTTAAAGAATGTAAAGAAAAACAGTTACATGGAAATACTCGAGCTTCTCAAATATTGTTGATTGGGTCCCTAACGTTCCTTTAAAATTAAAGTTCCTTTAAACATTTTTGTTTCTTTCAGATATTTAGAATATAATTATGTTAATTGAACCCTAAAAATGCTCCCATTCACAGGCCTTTTTTTTTTTTCCGTGCGGAAATCCCCTCGGATACCACCTGTCGGTGGCATGTCGGACTCGAACCGACTAAAACCGCACGCCGTCTCGGGTACTAATAGCCGGGGAACCAGGTATACCCTAGAAAGGAAGTCCCTGGTGCCCCGACATACCTCGGGTCATCTACAGACGAGTAGACGACCCCCCCCCCCCCGTGTGGGAACCCCATGTTCCCTGTGCTCCCTGGAAGCGAGCGCGCTTCGCAACGCGCTCGCCGCCACCCCGGCCTGCTTCTGCTAGGGTGACAGATGGCCTCACCTGTCACCCCCAGGCCTGCGCTTATGGAGGACAGAGGTCGTTCTGCGACCTCCGGCGCCTGAGTCGCCTGCAATACCTAGCCCGTTCCCGGGCCTGGCGGGCCGGGAGAGTTCTAAACCTCTCCCGGTCCCACTCCGCCGTCTCCTTCGCGAGCATAACTTGCTCGCAGAAGGAGACGGCAGTTTCACGCACTCTCGCTCCGCACGATAGACGCAATCAGGCTATCAAGCCCATTCACAGGCCTGACGATTTGAAAGAGACAAAAGCTTGTAGCAAATTTTCAAAATTGCAAAATGTATCGCCATTTCGAAATACTTGAGCGTCTCAGATTTTTAAACAGACGGTTCATATTGCTGGCCCAGCCATGTTAGCCAAAAATCTGATAATTATTTTAATGATAATAATAATAATATCGACTCACATTGGACGGCTGGATCAAGGGTCTGATGCAGAAGGCAGTCCTCCTTGACACGGCTCGTATAGTGAGGAGGTTCCTATTTGGAGTACTAACCACCGGTGTCTTGGTATTTTTTATATTTTTAAATGCATTTTTTTTTCTTTTGTATATTAATATATTGAAAAATGTAATCAATATGTATATATAATTTAATAAAGAGAATAATAATATTTTTTTTATTTCGTAAGTTAATTGTAGTACATAATTTTGAACTTTGAATTGCTTGTTACAGGCGTTTTTGGCTGATCTTTCGGATACATATCTTGTAATTCCCCATTTGCCGGAAGCTAATCTCTTGAATAATCTTCAAGAATGGGTCAGGAATCGAGTCAAGGGTCCTCTCACACCTAAGCAGCATAGTTCGTATATGTTTTCTGTTGTCCTGATACTTATTCTATCAACAATACATATTTACTATATAAGGATAATAATAAAAGTATCGTCTTGTGCCCATTATGTAGTTAGCGAACGAATCGACGAATCTTGACGACTAATCAGTGTGCGCAAAAAAAAAATATTTATTATTAGTTTAACTCAGCACGTCTTTAAAGGAGGCACTTGAAACTAACGACAATCATCATTAAATGAGAAAGAAAAATATAATAAACCTACCATCTATTATAAATAGATTGGTGATTTTAACGGTTGAACTGATTGTTCTAGTATGGAGTACTTGAACAATCACTTCAGTCGTTAGAATATAGCCTGAAAGTTAAAAAAAAAATGAACCTGCTCTACATAGTGGTTAAAAGTGGACGTATTATTTCTGTGAAAATAACGCCTCTACTGTTTACACACAGCAAGACGTGTCTTGAAGTGTGTATTGTTGTACAACTATATACGATGTAACTTATCTACATTAACTACACCTACAACAATCTAGTAGTTTTTTTTTGTGTTTGAGCTTTCAGTAGTCCCAGAATGTTCAAAGTTACTCTCTTTTTCTGTTTTGAATCTTTACGGCATAAGACTTCATACTTAGGTATGCTTTTCATAATTCAATTGAAATAACTAAACATAATATCCGTTCAGGACGCTTATACCTAAATTCACTACGGAGATGGCTAGACTTAAAACATGTGGATCACAGGGCCCGGGCCTATTCTATACCATTTACGTTGAAGCAATTGGAGCATTTTAGTTGGCAACACCGACGTATGGTGCAAGAACTGGTAAGAATTTGTATTGATTAGCTTTTGGCTTCTTTACAGTCATGTAGATCTTTATTTAAGAGGAATGTTATGAAGTCCACGACGCACTGAAATTGTAGTAATAATAACCAAAAAAGGAAAATTGTTATACCTAAGAGACTTGAAAAAATTGAATACCAATTTATTACATTTTTTCTTTGGTCGTCCACTTGTGCCCATTTATTGCAATAATATGTAAAACTCTCTTTAACACGTTACATGTCTGTTTGTCTTGATATCACATTTTCATCCCATGGCAATGGAATCTTAAAAAAAAGAATCTTCAAATGATAAAAAGTTCTTTCTTTCAGACTTCCATTAGTATATTCATTTCTCACCTTGTCCATCCTAGTCATATCATACATCCGTCTCACTCCTAATGAAACATATTTTTGTTACAGTTTCAGGTCTTATTAGACAATTTCGTAACAAGAAACAGGCTAAAGCAAGTAGTACAAACTCGCATGTGGTGGCCAACAACGAAATATGACCAGTACCCTGGAAAACCATTCCTGTATGTAACATTACTAGATAGATCATTGGGTGTCTGCAATTTGGCCTTACTTTAAGGCTCATTAGAGTGAAGCACCTTGCATTTTTTTTTCGAAGATTTTCTTTTTATGTTTAATTTTCATAAAATTGCTCAGAGTACATAAACTTAACAGAAGTTTAAGATTTGTGCATATTTTGAAAGTGTTGTTTGCATTGTGCTCTATAACAAAATAATTAATATTTAAAGACTGAAATATCTATGAAACTTACTCTTCGTTTAAAAATTATTATCATTGCACCCGTTACGGAAATAATCTTTAATTTTATTTTTCAGTGACATATTTTTCACATATCTTCCTCCCAGAATGCAAGACGTATACTTCGTTAATCCTTACAGTCCTCAACTCACACCAAAATATGGAGCTAAGACATGTCCTTTGTCTGTTTAAATTCGAGATAACATAACAACTGCCTTATTGTGAACACTTTCCAGTTTACCAACGTCGTAGTTGATTAGAAAAAGTATGTTAGGTGATTAATTTATTAGGATTTATTTTATGTAAGTTTAGTTTCGTGATTTGTTGGAAATAAGACAATCGATTGACTATATTTATACACGTAACTTTTTTCGTAATGTTAGTCGTTCCGAAAAGTCATTAACTTTCAATTTATGTTTTTTTTTGTTTATATTATGCCATTACTGTCTTCTTTAGGATTCGGATATGTAACTAGCACGTACCTACGAGTGTTACTTGCGCCAATTACCTTTATTTCGAAACAAGTTATGTGCAAAAAAAGATTTTTCGTCACGATTCCTGTACTTCTTATGTTTGATATAATTATCATATAAATATAAGGTCTAAATATTGTGAAACTGTGAATACATTTATAAACTATATTTTTTTTTATTGTAGCGTAATTATGAGAGTGGAGGAACTGTAGGCCAATTCTCGTAATAAAAAGTCGGTTAATATTCAGTTCTAATTAACTCTCGCAACTGTCAGAAAAGGTGTTTTCGTAGTAAAATAGTAAATTATTACTAAGGCAGCAGATTACGTATTCAATTTTCGATTCACTTTTTTTTTTGTTTTAAAAAGAACGCCCGTATTAGGAATATAACCTGTGTCGCGGGGGACTTTACAAACATACATGAAACAGACACAAAGAACACCCAGACTCAGAACAAGAATTTGTGGATCATACTAAAGTGTCGTCGTCGTAGTAGGAAGCGGCGTGGCGACCACTTAAACCTAGTGGTTTAAGTGGTGGCCACGCCAGCCATCCGTGCAATCAACATTAAAGTCAACATTGCATGTTGAATACTTTACTAAGATAAATTCTTTAAAAAATTTGAACCGATCTCAAGCAATACTAATAAAGAGCGCTAAAAATAAAAAAATAAAAAATAAGTATTTTAGTTTTTCACTGAATTTGTTATTTATTTTTTATGATTAGACCCTCAATATAAACAGTTAACATTAAAATATCAATATATTCTAGTTTGTTGGTGTCTGTGTCAAGTCGGTGCCAAGCCAAATAGGTACTTGATATTGCTAGGCTTTGTAGAAGGTGGCGCGGCAGCTGCAAAAGTCTTCATGCTGAGCAAAAGATGCTGAAGAAGCCAAAGTTGGTTACGCACATCTCAAATGATATCATTTTAAATGCTTTATTAAGTAGTCGATAAGTTTGCGTACGTAATTGATCTGGTTGGTCTTTATAAATTAACAAAATCTGCGATGTTTCTTTGGAATTATATTGAACTCTTAATTCTTAATCTTGCTGATATAAAGCTTACATAGACCAGAGTTAGGTACTTATTGTGCTTCGGACTTGGCACGGACTTCAAACAAACTAGAATTTATCTATTGCTATTAAGTATAATGTTACCTGTTATATTGAGGGTCCCAAACTTGATTTTTAATTATTTTTTTAGTTTTTAGTGCTCTTTGTTAATTTTGTTTGAAGTCGGTTCAACTTTTTAAAAGGATTTGTTTTACCATTTTTAGTGTAACATGTGTTTGTAGTAAGTAGCTAAGGACTATATTTACAACACTACGTACTCCAATGTGTATTACCAAACTGTTAGAATATATTAAATTTAATAAGTCATTTACTTTAATTACATTTGAACCCGAAAATACTTATCGGATTGCGGCTAATAGAATACACGTCTGCGCATCGTCCTATTCTTTTACCAATCCAATTTCACCTTATTTTACCCGTGGTGCCACCACTACGCCCTACTGTTGAATCCACAAGGATTTTATCCCCGTAGCCCCACTGCATTGTGGGGGGTGGGACTAGGGGGAAAAAAGAATTCCCCGTAGTCCCACCACATTTAGAGATGTGCCGCAAAGAGTTTATTTTTCAACATACCTTCCTAAAGACAGTGTACGAGTGACGAATGTGAATGGTTGCACAGGAAAATCCTTACCCATGTACCTACTTATAAATACTAGCCCTCGAGGTACTCAATGACTGAAAAAACTTTGAAAGTCAAGTTTTAAATATTAGAATCCTTACAGGTCTTTTGATTAAATGCCACATTCAATTTCTACCTGATTGGGTTGGGCTGTTCCACTAGTCCCTATAAGCTGTCCTTCCTGGCGGGGACAAGTGGACTTTCTTTTCATTCTTCCCTACCACACCGTCACTGGTTGGGATGAGTGGAATTTCATTTCCAATTATCCCTACCAAACCAATTTTGTTAATAAGTACAGCGAGAATAAAATCATGTTATGAAAAATATAATTATTTAAGAAATTATATTTTTTATGAAAAAGTATATTAAATATATTTAGTAAATAATTATTATGTTGAAATAATAATAATTTAGCGTAACTTCTCCAAGCATAATCTAACATCAATGGTGCCAGTCACTAGCTGCATTTGTATATCTTGTATGACTGTGTCCCGGATTATATATTTTCGTTCCCTTTTCTTTTGTTGTGGTGATTGCAATGTAGGCATTTGTTTCTAAGAACACCATTAGCATATTTACGCAACTAACAGTTGTAATAAATTTAAATGTGTGGAACGCTTATTGTTTATTTTAAAGTTCAACGCTTCGACGAAATTGTTGACCAAAGAAGTTCCGTTTCTGGAATTCTTTATTTTTAAGCCACCATTTATCAAAATACTGCATAAATTTTTCCATGCCAAAATCTTCGATGATGTTAGATTTTATATAAGACCACCCATCTGTCACCTGGTCCACAGGTAAAGAGGTAACGCAGCAGTCAAGGCAATAATGCGCCTTGTGTCTCTTAATGAATATGAATACGGTAAGATTTTATTAGTAGGGATAAGTGGAAATGAAATTCCACTCATCTCAACTAGTGACGGTATGGTAGGGAAGAGTGGAAAAAAAATCCACTTGTCCCCACCAGGAGGAACAGCTGGTAGGGACTAGTGGAACAGCCCACGGGGTTGGGCAATATACAGAAGTGGTTAAAGCTAGAAAAGAAGCGATTAAAATATTGTAACGAATATTGACTTTAATTATCAATACATCAAAAAGTCAATATTCCTTACAACATTCATATCATAATAATTCACAAAATTACTGACTGAATAAGATCATCAACCCATATACTCATATACCCGCTAAGACACGCTAAGATGTACGCTAAGATCTTGCCAAATGACTTGTCGATTTTGTCATCTTTATAAAACTAAATGTGTCTAAAAAGATTTAAATTATTCAAATTAAGGCACATTATACTTTGGTCACGAGTTTGTTCTGTAAAAGACACTTGCATGGGGCAAATTATAAATGCAAACGTCCGACAATAACGTTCCCCACGTTATTGTCGGACGTTACGCAAAATAGAAAATTCGCAGCGGTACATGTCATAAGCAATAGAGTTGGGTGGATACAATGTATGGTTTCGTGTTCATGTTTCCTATAAAAAAAAACGATATTTGCTTCTGTCCTATGAGCGACTATCTACTTGTTAAAAATGACTCTTCTTGGAATAACCTTAAATGCAAATCGAAATAAACCGACACAAATTGTATACAAGGCACTGACCTCTATCATAGAAGTAATAAAGGTCAGTGATATGAAGCGCGGTAGTATAAAATAAGATTATTTGGATTTTTTGACAGTACTTAAAACTAAAATAACTAAAATATGAAGTTGGAAAATGGGCACTTGGCAGCCCTCGTTTTCAGCTGATCTGTCAACTGTCAGCTGTCATTAGTTTATGTCAAAATAAAATATTGTCTTTTGGCCACAATTCGACTACACTTTGTGTTTTAAACATAAAATAATGGCCGCCAAGCAGGCAATTCAAGTCGGCACAAAAATCGTAAAACCAGTGCTATCCACAAATCATGCTGAAGCAAGATTGAGAGTATTAAGCTTATACAAGGCTTGGTATCGTCAAATCCCTTACATTGGTAGGTATGCTATTATGTCATCAGTGTTCATTAGTTCTTGATTATAAACATTCATTCGTTTCTGGAATCGATATTAAGGACTTAAATAAAAAAAAGGTTTATTGGGCAGGTTATATTTTAAAAGTGTAAGTAAAAGTTTTACTTAAAAAATAATGATTCATGTTGAATATTATAGTGCTAAGTATAAATAGCTTAGTTATCGAGCTTCTGTTGGGAGATGTTGTATAGTTCAGAATTCAGGAGGTTAACATTAAGTAATTATTTCTTGGGACCTGAACTCATTCATTGACACAATAAGTCTTGTTATTCAGCATATCACCTACCTTATGATTGTATTATTTTTTAAGTGAAGGAATTTGACATCCCAAAGTCAGAAAACCAGTGCCGTGAAAAACTGAAGGAGCTCTTTATGACAAACAAGGATGTGACTGATATCAGAGTTATTGATTTACTTGTCATCAAGGTAACAAAGTTCATATAAATAATATCTTTATCTAATTTAGAAAGTAATCAAAAATGATCTTAGTATTATCAGAATAAGAACTTCTTGGCTTGTTACTATTCTCATTTGCTTTAGCATGTCCAAATATTATTATACAATTAATAACTAATTTATACAATTATTTTCTAAAAGTTATGTATTTGCTGTTAGTGATAGTAATTACCTGTTCTAATTAATTTGATTCACTGATTAAGATATTGCTCATCCAATACTTGAGGTAGTAGTTTTCAGGTTTTCAGGTAGTAAATTTCAGTAGATACAACTAGCCTAAATTTTTTGCTCGATCTGAGTCTTTTACAATGGTAGCTTCCAATTATATTAAGAGAGTAATAATAAAGAAATTAAGAAAGTTAATATGAAAAGATATTTAAAAAGTTTTGTTTGAAGACTAAACAAAACTTTCTAAATCATGATTGTGATTAAATTATAACCTTTAAGAGCAAAATTTTATTGTTATATTATCCATAAGTCCTTTACACAGTTATTTTTAGTTTATAATAGATATACTCCTTAGTATTATTATATTAGTAAAGATTTGTCCAATTTTTCTTTCATCTAACTAATATTTTAAAGGCAAAAGTTTGTGATTGTGTGTGTATGTTTGTTAATTCACGTTCAAACGGCTGGATGATAAAATTTGGTATGAAGGTAGTTAACACCCTGGATTATCACATTCTCTACTTTTTATCCTGAAAAAATGTAATTTTCCTTTGGGATGAGCATATCTGATAAACTGCAAGGTAACATCGCAGGGTGCAGCTATTCTTAAGGGACTTAATATTCTTAATTAAAATACTAGAGCATTCTTATTAGACTGCATATTAACTATATAACACATTCACTTTCCAGGGTCAAATGGAATTACAAGAATCGGTAAACATGTGGAAGCAGAAAGGACACATCATGGCATATTTCAAGCCAACTGAAGAGCCAAAGCCGAAAGGCTTCCTTTCGAAATTCTTCAATTCAAATGAATAATATTTTAAGTAGAACATTTGTAAATAAACCCGGTTGCATACTAAGTTATAACAAACTGTTACATTAATAGATTTCAGTTTCCAATTGTTGTGTTGTTTGTTTTTATAGTATACTACCTTTTGGCGGCGGCTCCGCCCACATAGATGTCGGTTATCGCGATAAAAAGTCCTATGTCTTTTCTCAAGAATCAAAGTATCTCCATACAAAATTTCATTAAAATCGGTTTAGCGGTTATTGTTCCCCCATATAAACTTCCACCCCCCTTTTCACCCCTTTAAAGAATGATTTCTCCTTATAAAATTAGGTCGAAATTTTACTAGAGCCAAACCCTTCCCCGGAATTACGGGAGGGGAAACCAAAAGTTGGCAACGCGCTTGTGACTTTTGACAGGTGTCACGCACAGGTGTCAATGGGCGAAGGTAGTCACTTACCACGTGATAGTGACCCCACTGCCCGTTTGCTCTCCTTACTTCCATACCATGAAAAAATAAGATCTATTAGATTTTTATATAATTAATATAAAATATGAAACTGATCTTCCTATTTGGTGACAGATATATCATTTTGAACCTTAGATATTATTCAGGCTATAGAACAAAGTGATGAAACTAAAATTTGAGATACCTACATATTTACATTAGTATTAACTTTTTCCTTTTTTTCTACTTTACTTTTCCACTTATTCCATCCTTCCTTCGAGCCCTTTTCTCAAATTAAGTTTGGATCGGCTTTAAGTCTAATACGATACGGCTGAACTTCAATTATTTATGCAGAGCAGCTGCCATCAGACCTACACAACCCAAGTATTAGGCAACTTGTTGGACTTTTTAGGGGTCCGACTACCCGTAACGATTGCCACAGATGTTCATATGGCATACCGATTTAGAGACTGTTTTGATTAATTTAATGACAAATGTTCAGGTTTACTGGGTAAGTATACCTAAATACTTTAACAGGTTGTAGTTATCATCATTTCTGACGGATTTCACTAAGAAATACTATGGTATTTCTTTAAATGGTTTAAAATGGTTAGGTTTTGGGACATATCCTAAACCTAACTATTTTCAAGATATTGGACTTTTGAGATTTTTCTCATTACAAGTTCTAAATTTTTTTTTTATTTACAAATTTATTTCATTTTGCGATACGATTGTGCTTTTCTATATAGTGTTGGCTATAGATTAAGAAATAAATCAACAAGCTAAAACAAATCATTATCCTATAAGCTTCACTTTTGAAACGAAGTTCCTTATCGCGCGTTACACTCTCTGAGCGGATGGGCACGAGACCGAAAAGTGTGTAACAAGACTTTTTGCCGACACTTCTTGCTATAGTTATGAACTTCGTTCTGACCGGGGTCCATAGACCCCACAAGCCGTTTTTTTTATACATTGCAGTCTCGAGACCTATTAATCAAGATAGAAATTGGGAGGACTTCACTTAAGAAATCTTATTTTTTTTATTACATTTTATTTAAGTTAATACTAATACTGTAAATAGTTTACCATGGAAAGTCTTTATTACCTAAATGACCATAAACTACAAAATAAAAGTTTTTATATTAAAAGCTTTACGACTTAACAATCTCTTTGGTTTAACGGCATTAATTTCTGCGTCAATATTTTTCCTTAAATTTATTTTTAAATCACTGTTGTGATATCATTCCCGTGTAACATTATTTTATATCGCAATGTATAAAAATAAGTTGATTATTAAAATGCACAACTTAGTAACATTATCTCAAAGTTGTTCAATGAGTAGTAGGAGCGTAAGACCTATGATGTCTTCAGATTTATGTGAAGCACGAAGAAGAGCTTTGGGTTTATATAGGGCTATCTATCGGTATATTCCATACGTCAGTAAGTATTCACTACTCTTTAATCTAATGTTTAAAAAATACTACAGGGATGATTACAGTCTGTTAGTGTTGTAGTCAGTAGTGTAAACCAAGTTCTCTCACTTTTGGCTTGGCCACCATCATGGATTTTAATTTTGATGACACAGAAATTTAGTCGCTAATTAGTCGAAATTTGTCGCCTAAATTTGTCACTAAATATTTTGTGTTATCAAAATTAAAATTCATGATGGTAGCCAAGCCAGTGTCAGTGACATGATTATCTCCTATAGTTACAAGTTTTAATATATTTCAAACAATATAGATGCAAGCGGTATGCTGTTTTACATGTTTCCTTTTGTCAGGAATGCAGATCTATGATAACAAATTCAGTAGATTGAGTACCTATGCGTGAACCAGAATTTGACTGTCATCGCGCCAATGTAGAAATGTATTTATTCCAATCGATACGCACATTTTAAATTGACAACGAAAGTCCTTTTTTCTCCTGGTTCTCCTGTACGTTCTTTTGTTGAGTCAGTCGAGATCTTTTAGGTCTTAGACTACCTACCATAATATCTGTATTTATTGTCTTTTCCAGTAAAATATTACGATATCCCGAAGAATATAGACCAATGCCGCTGGATGCTAAGATCATATTTTTACAAACATGCTTATATCACTGACGTCAGAGTTATAGATATGCTTATTATCAAGGTATTCAATATATTATTTTAAACATCCTACATTTCACAGCAGATTTAAAAGTTGTTTAATTAGAAATCAGCACTCTTTTCATCAAGCATATTAATGCAGAAGAATAGTATTTGCGTGTTGGGAAACGTCTCCCTAATGGATTTTATGCGCTCTAATATGGTTTGCATAATTATACATCACAGTAATTACAGTGAAATTAGTCTCGAGAAATTTTTGCATATGTAGTGGTGTGTATATTACTCAGATCTTAGAGCGCGTTTCCACTATATCGTTCTGGCCTATACAAAAATGTTTCGATATCCTAACATTACTATTTTATTTTATACTTATCCCTAGCAACACTCTGATTTTTGTTTTCAATAAAAACAAGTTTTTATTTTAAAGAAAAAGGTTTTGACTTTATAAAATAAAAAGGTGTGTGTGCGATTCACACACGATAGAAGTGAAACTTCAAAGAGGAGAGACCGATATTTAAAATTATTATTTTTTTTTTCCTTTCATCTAGGTTTTTAAAACTCTACGGGGGGTCTACGGGGGAGGGTCAAAATTTTTGTTATTTTTGGCCTAGGACGCACCGTTTCCGAGATATTTCAATCTAAAGCAAAAAATCGTTACTTGATAGTGGAAAGTGGAAACACGCACAACCATACACTACTACAAACGCAAAAATTTCTCCAAGCTAATTTACCTGTACCGCACAATTTAATTAAAACACTCGTAGATTGATCCGTTTTTCTTTTGGTGATTCGCTTTTTACCAATCGGATTTACCACCTGGTAGATGCGAACCAAATCCGTGACTGTGACGGAGTTCGGTGACTGATTAAGAACATGGAGTGTGACCACCCCTATTCATCCCATGGGAGTCGTAAGAGTAAGGTAGAAAACTACGCAGGACTACTGCACTGTAAACAGAAGGAAAACTTGAAACAAACCCTATACCGACCCGTCTGGCCAGTATTGTATAGTCTGCCAAAACCTCCTTTCTAAGGAGAGTCCTATGTCCAGCAGTGGACTGATATTAAAGGCTGTTGAAACGAGATGTTTATCAAATACCTTAATTTTCCTAATCATCGACTACGGTGATGTATGTTACCTCGACCTGAATGCAGATCTGCTCAATAAATTAGAAAGACTTCCCAAAAATTGCATTCGGTTAATATTCAAACCGCGAAAGTAAGATCAAGTATCCGCTTATCGCAGGCAATTGTCATGGTTACCTATAAGACAGCGCCGCAGTTTGCGGGCGCTGACTATGTTGCACTCCCTTCTCCACTCACCTACTTATCTAACAGAAGCCTTCGCTCCGCTGATAATCTCCTCCTTCTTTGTCCTTCACATAACTCCCGTATCGTTCATTCTTCCTTCACTCTCCAAGCGGTAAATCTTTGGAATGCCCTCCCTCTTTTTTTTTTGTCTGTGCGGAAATCCCTTCGGAATGTCGGACATGAACCGACCAAAAACTGCACGCCGTCTCGGGTACTAGTGGCCGGGGAACCAGGAGTACCCTAGAAAGGAAATCCCTGGGATCCCGACGGACCCCGGGCCATCTACGGCTTGTAGATGACCCCCTTGTGTGTGGGAACCACGGTGTTCCCCTTCTGGAACGCCCTCCCCCTAGAGATCAGGACGTCCCCGTCCGTCCAAGATGCTAAAGCTAAAGATGCTAAGAATACGCAAACTCTATGGAGACTTGTTGACGGAATCATCAGAATAACCATTCGTGTCTTCATCATTGCAGGTATGCATGTATGGATGTACCTATGTGTGTATGTTTGTTTTTTTGCCCAGTATATCACATCTACAACTTCTTGCTAACATCTTGCAACTGACTACAATTTAAAATAATTCATCTCATCTCATTCTTTAATTATACACCTGCCACACACATATCTCTGCATCACCCAGAAGTAAATGCCAATGGCATTAAGTATGTAATGTATTTGCACGAAGTATAAATCAATACTGATATGAATTATTAATAAATATCAAATCTGTTTTAGGGTTACATAGAGCTGAAAGAACTGACGCACCAGTGGCAGTCGAAGCACCACGTTATAAGACACTGGAATCCGAGTATAGAACCAAAATGTACTTCTTTTATAGCAAAGTTTATTGAAGGAAATTGAACACATTAAATATAGGCATTTACTTACTTTTTCCACTAAAGACAGAGGTCTTCGGCTGGCAATAATTATCGTGTCAGTCGTCGAATGAAGACACGTGGAATCGCTGTAGCCGTAAAAAATATACACTTTATCAAATTTATGAAAATGTAACTTAATCACCTGCAATAAATTTAAATTTCAAATCATAGTACCGACGAAAGGGAGAAACAATGAGTTGATTTCAGAAGCAAATAAAGTTATTGATTTTAAAATAGTGGATACGCTATCGTGCCATAACAATTGCGTGAAAATCATAAATCGAACTTTGAAATTGTCCATGAAAAAATCTCAGAATTTTCATTTTATTTGGAACACACATTTAGAAACAGATTTAATGGGATAAGTTTTTTATTGAAATGATATTGCTCTTACTAGCGTAGCAGTCTGAAATTGCAATAAGATTAGAGTCAAAATACGGATGCTTTTTGTCATTGAAATTGTAACTAATGAATCGCTAATGATTATTACTGATTATTTTGATGTATTTTATGTAAGGTGTGACTAGCCATTAGACTCTATTTTATGCAATTTTAAAATGTATTCTTAAAGTAACTAATACCGTAGTTATGTTGTAGTAATAATAATTATACATACATTTGAAAACGCAAACAAGGTTTTTACTTGTATCGTCCATATCAACCATGTATATTTTACCTTAGATGTATCGACATTAAAATGACAGCCCTTGGGCCTGGTTTTTTTATGGTATAGGGGGGCAAACGAGCAGACGCGTCACCTGATGGTAAGTGATTACCGCCGCCCAAGGACACCTGCTATTCTAGTCACAAGTGCGTTGCTGCCTTTTCAGTCCCTCCCCCAGAGTCAGAGGGAGGGAGAGGGTTTGGGCACAAGTAACCTCACTCACTCGGTGAAAAGCAACGAAAGAACTGCTTGACATTAGTTTTCTATCAGGCTGTGGCATCACAGTGGCCGAGCCTGGCCCATATGTCCCGAATCATGGCTCTCCCACCACATTATATAAATATTCCCTTTAGACGATCAAACGAGAAAATTTACTACAGAATGTATGCACCATTTGATTTTGATTTAACCAACGAACTAAAAATGGTTATTTCGTTGCGTTGCATGCCGTGGAAGTGGATGCGAGGCGTATACCAGCTAAACCCCTTTATAACCTGCTTAAAGACCTTGGATTGCCAAGAGCTTCCATAAGCTCTTCTTGAACGAATATCCAACGCAGCATTGCTAGGCTCTTATCAAATATGGTTAGGTAGAGGGGGTAACACAGCAGACAGTGCAGTGCAGACAGTGGTGAGCGCTTACGAGTCGCAAGGAGTACTGCCTAAGCCTATTCCTGGATCGCAAATCCCAGGCGCTGTCGAAGTCGCATGCCCATCTATCACGCGATGGACCCTTGCACCCGCACGGTGAATCCATGGAACGATAAGCAATAGGTCTACCATACGTAATAAGTAGGTATGGAGCTATGTAAAAATTGGTTTAACTCATTTATCAAAGGTATACCTTATATAAAGGCATATAAAATAAACTACGTTATAACAAAATTGAAGATTTATTAATCACTTTCATTCACCATCACATGCCTTTCAAAGGCTTTTGGTATATTTCTAGTGTCGCTATTTCAATAATTATAGTGGAACATTTGGTAAACTGGACATACAATAATGTAATTGATCTCAAAAATATACCCTCGTATATCTGAATACGATTATCTGGCAACAAATTTATTTATACTTAATAAGACACTTAAAGTCTGCACAAATTGCAAGTGAGTAGGTAACTATTTTGTTTAATACAAATTAAATTTAAGGTCTATAAATCCTGTTGAGCCAACAAATACACGTCATTCAGATGGAACGTACATACAAATAAATAGATTAAAGCCGTCTACAGTGCAGTTTCATTTATGTATACAAATAATATTTGGTATTGTTACCATTAATATATTTCTATAACATTTCTGGTGTAACTTATCATTCACAACCATAAAATTACAATATTATTTATCCTTTATGTATTTGGGTATTTTTTATAAATCTTAAGGTTGTTGAACCTAGATTCAAGAGCTACAACGTATCGCCGTCGGTATTTAGAGATCCTTTTCAAATAGCATCGTCTACTTACCACTAATACAAATTAATAATACAGTCATTTTGGATGACATTGGATCACTTACGTCCTGCTATGGTGTAACTAATTCTTGTATAAATTTAATTAAATATAAATTAAAAATCTGTAGTAATTCTGAGATATAAAAAGAAATGGTGTAGTTCTAAGTTACATTGACTCTGATTTTAACAGGAATGATGGTCCAATGTTGCCTACATATTATATGTAAGTCATAATTTTTATTATCTTTAAAAAACCATTTCATTGTATTTTTGATAATAAATGGAAACCTGTGCCATATAAAACGCTAATAAAGGAGTAAATAAGTAGTGTACCTATTATTTAAAACGTAATTTTACTCTTCCAATAGGTCAGACTTACGTGGTTAAGAAAACAACCAGGCCAGGTTTCTTAGAAATAAAACAAGTTAGAAAGCTATACATTACCAACAATTATTTGGAATAATCTTTATTTAGAGATGAATCTCTGTAAAAATATAAGTTGTCAATGTCATGAAACTTATATTTTTACAGAGATATGCAAGATCAAAGCCTAATTTCACAAACTTTTCTTGGCTTAATACACTTTACTTTGATTATTGCTGAAATCATATTTTTAGACACCTTTTCGAAAAATCATAATTGTAATATTTTATTATAACTCTGAAAAGAACAAAAATATACATCAATATAGATCACTTTACATAGTTAAAAGACCGATTAAATTAACCGACTTCAAAAAAGAAGGCAATCGTAGGAATATTTTTTAACAATTAGGTACATAACAAGACCGGTCAATCTTACCCCAAATTATTTGACAAGTTGACTTCGAGATTCGGCATTAATAGTAAATTCTTCAATATTCATTATTACGACATCGTTGTCTTTTGCTCAAAATAAATAATGAAAACTACAAAACAATAATTATTTGTTAAATAAGCCACAACTTAGTCCTCGGGCCCAGGACCTTTCTTTTATTATTACCTACAAGCTAAAACTTAGCCGACCTATTCATATTACTGAGTCGAACAAGTTTTTCACGTGCCAAGTCTGAAATAGGCAGCATTTTTACTCCCCCGACGTGCAAACATGTCAATTTAACTACATTATGTTTTTCTATTATCTACTAATAAATTTTCATTCTAATTACGAGATCATCAGCCTATCGCAGTCCACTGCTGGACATAGGCCTCTCCCATTGCACGCCACTTAGATCGATTTTGGGCTTCTCGCATCCAGCACAACCGACTGACCCTGGCTACGTACAACGGACGCACGCTACGGCTAATTACGAGATAATAACGGTAAATTGAAGAAATAATGCTTGTCGGACAAAACGGACAAGATAAGTACACGAAAATTCGACACGTCTTGTCGACGTATCGAATTTTCGTGGGTATGTTTTTTATTGCCTACAAGGGAATACTTGGTGAATCGTCTCGTTTGTATATTGTAAGTCGCCAGGTCCAACAAAAATTATGCACTTTGTAACGAGTATGTCGCAGTGAACATGTTAAATTTATTTACTTTTTTCCGACACAAAATGTGTAGCGTACAGGCATAAGAATAAAATATTGAATTGCGAAAAAATATCATCATGGCCTTTCTCAAAACTGCCGCTCAAATGCTAGTAAGTCCCTAAAGACCCGCTGGGCTGTCGGTGCGGCAAAAAAAATAAAAAATTCCAAAATGATTTAATAAATCTTTTACTATTGAGACCGACACAGTTAAAAACATTAAGTGATTATTTTCGTTAAATTTACATGTTTGCAGGTTGGGGGAGTAAAAATGCTGCCTATTTCAGACTTAGCATGTGAAAAACTTATCCAACTCAGTAATACGAATAGGTCGGTTAAGTTTTCGCTTGTAGGTAATAATAATAAAAAAAGGCCTGGGCCTGAGGACTATTACTGGTTTCTATTTTAAAAACACGAAACAAACAGTTTATTATTTCCTACGGATTCCGAGTGTAGTCCAATCTCATCCACAATGACTGTACTTCAGAGAAAACAAAATATGCTGACAAGTCCTTTATTTTTAACAATATTGATTTATTAAATGTCTTTTGTAGCTATAAAATCAATGATCGAGTAAGGCCCTTGTTTATTTCATAAATAGTTACGTACATATGAATGTAAAATATAGAATCGTTAAATTACATATGTTTTTATAGCCTAAATTAGTTAACTACGTTACATGTTATTTTATTAATATTACTCCTATTTACATAATTTTCAACAGTTGTCGACCAGATGTTGTCGACCATTGTCACTATATTTTACGATTTAATTTTGTTTAAAGTGAGTTGTGTCAGCAGATTTAGAATGCTGATTTAAATTTTTGGTGTTACAAAATTCACATCCTTACGTAAAACGTGGTGACGGAACAGTCTTATCTCCTAGAACATGGTGACAAAACATATTTTGCGTTAGACAACGTCGCAAATTCTTCTTATCATATCCATTAGATATGATCCGATCACGAACATGTAGGGATGCATGTCGACTGGCTGTCTTTAACATTAACACTAAAACTAGTGAGGTCTCTAGGCGAGGTACGCGTTACAACAGCATTTTCACGAATTCTGAAAATAGAGAGAAAAAAGAGTCAGAATTAGAAAATCTAGAAACTTGCTTCCTACGAAATATAAAATGGTCAATATCATTAAGTATGAAACATATAATAGGTACATAAATTTAGTCTCGCACTTGTTTTTCTTTTTTGCTTCAAGCACAATGTCTATTCCTTAAAAAATGAGAAGAAAGTAATTTGTTTGAATTTACTGTGGCTTATTAACATTGAAGTCAGTTATACTTTTTTTAAAGTGATTTTTTTATACCTTCATAATCGATCCTGCCGTCGTGATCGATGTCTCCGAGCGCTAGCACTTGGTTGAGCTGTGCGTCGGTCACGGGCTCGCCAATCATCTCCAGCGCCGCTCGCAGCTCATCGCGCGTTATGTACCCGTTGTCGTCACGATCGAATACTCTGCAACAATACGCATTTCAAGGATGAGCAATCAACGTTTAAAGATTTTATTGTAAGAGATTCATGTAAATTTTATTAAAGTCTCATTCTCCTTCAGCTCTTTAATCCCATTCAATCATCTGATTAATCATTACACCAATAAGAGGAGATATAACATATACAGAGGTAGAATTAAAAATATAATTGATAACTCGCGTTCGGGAAGTGGTAGAAAGTTGAAATTCGGATATGCTGTCAGTATCATGTAACTACAGTTAAATTAATAGGTCAAAATGTTGCAAAATTTTTGTAAACTTTAAACCTTAATTTTGTATTAATTACAGATTAACACAAAATTAATCGCATGATAAATCACTTTAAAAATATATTTTTAACACGTGTTTTTAAATGTGGCTTTTGTCGTTGTGTGTCAGACGACCGAAAATATTATTATATATTTACATGTATGATATATTATAATATGGATATGATGATCAGCCATTTACTGCCTTCGATAGTTGGTAATAAATAGTGCTCATTTGTTTAATTTAGTAAATCTGTGTTAATCTAATAAATTCATTATCTCTTCGATATTCTTTTTTATCTTATCGTCATAGTTTCCTGTCACGAGTGATAAATACTCACATATTTAAATCCAACAAAATATGCCTTCTAATTATGTTGAAGGAGTACTTATCATTTGCTTAACACACGGACCCACCATATGTTATTGTAATACAAAATTAATTTATTAACTTTCTCACACTTAAAAAGCACACAATATGTTTATAGATATAGCAGATAAAAACTAGCAAGTTGGAATCCTTTTTAATTGAATAAATAATAAATTAGGGAACCTATAAAAGGATCATACCAACTGCATCAAACATTATTCAACAATGCCTGTTTTGAAACTTTGTGATTGAAACACAAAGTATATTTAAGTGCCAAATTGTCGTTTAGTCTTAATATATTTCAAAGTAATGAAATTTTTTTTTTTTGCCAATTTTACAACAACAATGGGTGTAAAAAACATTTTTTTTTAAGAATTTGGTTTATTTTTTTATTTTCAAATAATATTTTTAAATAACTTCGCCTGTCTGTATAAGCCAGTTCCATTAAAATTTACGAATGAATAAAATACACCTAATTTCAACCAACTGTCATGAAAAGCACCAAGTTTTAACGGGATATGTACTTAGATACACTTCGATATTTCAACATTACACACAATAAATATTGTTGTACTAACTTAAATGCTGCAAGCAGATCTCTTGTGATCTCCTCCTCCGAGTCCCCGCCGCTGGTTGTGACGTCTAACCCTTGTAATGCCTGTATTTTCGTCACCCACTGCATAAAATCGTTCTCATCTATTAACCCATTGCCTGTAAATAAATTTAAAATATTTTGTACATTCCATTCACATTACATGATCACGCAGATAATATTATAAAATGCCAACATCAAACGGTGTTATTTAGAATATTGTTTTATACAATTTCATTTTACAGAGGGCGTTTCCATAAATTAATAGTTAAAAAAAACCGGTCAATTGCGAGTCGGACTCGCCACCTTTTTTCTGAGCTTTCCCCGAAATCCACTTTTCAACCTATAATTACCTATATTATTGTTTTATAAGTGAAATTGTATGATTGATTATGTACTTTAAACAAAGGCTATTGTTTTTCTGATTGAATTGTAAATGTATAGCTTTCAGATTTTTCCCTGTAGTTGCAGTATATGACGATGTTACTTGCTAAATTTCATAGTTCTAGGTCAACGGGAAGTACTTTATGAATTTAGATTCCCTTATTATAGGTTATTTATTCACATATAAGCAACATTAGGTAACGTCCAAAAATGTAATGGGGACCCAAACTACAATAGTAACCACAAGAGAAAGGAATAATTGTTCTGTTATAACAACAATCACAAAGATATTTTTTGTTGCCGAACCGAATTTCTTTATTATTAGACATAAGTCTATAAATGTATTGAGGAAATGCGTAATCGTTTGACAGGGCACCCGCGGCCATGACATTTGATGTCAGTCTTTCATTCAGCTATGGTCATTTGATTTACGCAGTCTTCACTACGTAACAAATTATTTATACTCCAGTCTATACAAATTGTGGACATTAATATGAGTGAAAGTTTTCATAAAAATTTGCCTCTTTCGTAGCTAGACTTAGGTTACCTGACTACAACAGGGTTCGTAGCAATGCTACGACATATCGTAGAAGACCTACGAGGAACTACGGTTAGTTACGTAAACATTCTTGTATTTTTTCTAAAACGTAACATTTCCATGGACATAGGCCTCTAATTAGAAAAGAGGTTAACATTAAAAGTACCATTTAAGTGAAATTAATAGACATTGTTATTCCTTGTATGTAAAAATGAAAATAATTTTAAAACTAGAATGTAAATATTCAGGTTTCTTATGTCGAATGTGTACTTTCAGGTGTAATGGCTACTGCAACATAGATGAGAAAAATAACTTTGCACAAACATAAATTTGTGACTGAAATATCATAATTAATAGGTGTACTAAGTATTTAACTTGTACAACAACTTATTTTCAATTCACCCAAATTCACAATTATCCTGGATAAATCACTGTATGTATAATGTACATAACCAATGGCATTAGTTTATGAATTCGTTTTTTCTTTATTCTAAATAGGTAGTATCTCTGTATAAAAGCCCGCTTGCACCTTACAAGTACCAACCACCACAAAAACACAGAGAGATTCTTTGATTACTTCCTAAAACTTTATTTCAAAACCTGAACCTTTTTTTTTTTTTTTTTTTTTTTTCCGTGCGGAAATCCCCTCGGATACCACCTGTCGGTGGCATGTCGGACCCGAACCGACTAAAACCGCACGCCTTCGCCGGGTACTAATAGCCGGGGAACCAGGTATACCCTAGAAAGGAAGGCCCTGGTGCCCCGACATACCTCGGGTCATCTACAGACGAGTAGACGACCCCCGCCCCGTGTGGGAACCCCATGTTCCCTGTGCTCCCTGAAAGCGAGCGCGCTTCGCAACGCGCTCGCCGCCACCCCGGCCTGCTTCTGCTAGGGTGACAGATGGCCTCACCTGTCACCCCCAGGCCTGCGCTTATGGAGGACGGAGGTCGTTCTGCGACCTCCGGCGCCTGAGTGACCTGCGCTGCCTGGCCCGTGCCCGGGCCTGGCGGGCCGGGAGAGTTCTAAACCTCTCCCGGTCCCGCTCCGCCGTCTCCTTCGCGAGCATAACTTGCTCGCAGAAGGAGACGGCAGAGTTCCACGCACTCTCGCTCCGCACGATAGCCGCAATCAGGCTATCGAGCGAGAGAACTCCCACTCCGATGGCCGCCACGAGGTCTCGCCTCTGCTCAACCCACGCCGGGCACTCTGCCAGCGTGTGGAGAGCCGTGTCCACGGTCTGGCCATCGCAGTGGTGGCACTCAGGCGTTGGCTCCTTGCGGATCAGACACAGGTGATCTCCGAAACATCCCTTCCCAGTGATCACCTGCGTCAATCGGTATGAGAGGGTCCCGTGACGCCTCTCGAGCCAATCCTCCATAACGGGTCTTACCGCCGCAATGACGGCGTGCCCGGCGCTCGGTTGCCCGAGTCGTTCCCTCCACTCCCCTATGATGACCTGGCGGAGTTGGGATTTCCGGTCCTCGATTTCTCGAGTCTCGGGGCATCGACCCAACTCCTGCGCCTCCTTGCGCCACTGATACAGTGCCGCAAGGGCTCTCGCCTCCAGGTCCCACGGTGGAGTTCCGGCCAGGACAAAACCTGAACCTGGTGTTATGTCTGTAGTGTATACACAAACAAAAGTTTTATATTCATAAGAAAAATATATAGTCGTTGCATATTGATTACCAAATATTTACTTGTTTTCTTAGTTTAGTAAAATTTAATGGATATTTAAATTTTCACTTCGTATTCAAACAAATTTTAGTTGTAATATTTCAAAACGTTAAACTTTATCGCTGACATTTTTGATAATGGAAGTTTTTGTCATGGCCATCTGCTTAATTATTGTTGTATTTTCAACTATTAACTTATTACACATAAACAACTGATTAGAAAGTTTATCTTTTATACATAAGTCGAGACTTAGTCGTTTGACCCGAAATTTTGGAAACCTAAAAAAATAACATAAATATCTATAATATTTGCCTACCCTAATAATTAAATAATATTATAAATAAAAGCAAATAATACACAGAAATAAATATTAAGATACACGCACACAATGGACGGATAACTCTTCAAGAAACAATGTTTTCCAGGCAACCTTTAAATATAGTTGGTTCTAGTTTCAAAAGGTCAAATTAGAGCTACAGGGTTATGTAATCTGTGATCATCATATCCATATATTTGTTGTACTAACTGTAACGACTTTGTTTTGTTTTACCGACTGTTCCTTAATTTAAAGACGTTTCTAGGTTAGAAATGTGAAAAATAAATTTTTGATTGCCTTTTTTTTCTTTTCCACTAAATAATTGTTGTATAAATATACAACATTATATATAATAATGTAAATTTATTGAAAAAGTAATTACAAATAAATAAAAGCAGGAACGTATTTAAGAGTCCTCTAGTGTTGTGACCGTCAAAATATTGCGATAGCCTTAAATCGTTTCCAAATATAACGTAACAAAATATAATGTGACAATTAGCAAAAGGGCTTTAGTCGTTAAATCTTAATTAAGGTGGCAGGGAGAGTCATTAAAGTGATGACGTAAGCAGTTCACCCTCTGCACAGCATTAGCTCCGGTTAATTATAACACTCATTATAATTATCAATGTCTTAACATTAACTAATAATGCGTTATACATAAACTTTTATTATAGACCAGCCTTATGCCCATAATATAATTTTATATTGTATACCAACATTACTCTGGTAAATAAACACAATTATTTTCATTTATTTATATACTTTAGGGTCGCTTTAAAATTTTGAACTTAAAGTAACGAACTCAAATTTATCCTGAACACAGATGTGCAAGGATTGTTACGACGGTAAGGTTTGCTAGAGAGAAATTTTGTACCACCTGAGTCTATAGGCATTATTGTAAGAATAACATTTCGGTAAAATCGCCGGACTCGACATTATTAAACAACGAGTTGCCGCCCGTGGGTTATGACGATAAAACTTTATAGAATGAATTTGAACAAAATCAATCTTCCTTCGCAGATTCATTTTGTTATGAAACTCTTTATTTAAATTTCTTCAAAATTACGAGCCAATCTAAATTCTATTCCGTTGGCTTTCATTAGTTAGACATATTTTTATATTTCACCTTTCGCATGTTTTTGATAGAATAGGGGGCAAACGAGCGGGAGGTTCACCTGATGTTAAGTGATTACCACCGTCCATGGACAACTACCACTCAAGAGTCACAAATGCGTTGCGTTGCGTTTTTTGACATCTGACACACAACGCCATCTAGTTTTAAATTAAGTAGAGCTTGTACTATGAAACCTAGATTGACTGATTGAATACTTTTATACTTTTTTTGTAAATATATACATATATATATATACAAAGATATATATATATATATATATATATATATATATATATATATATATATATATAATATAGATTATATATATATTGGTATATATATATATTAGTATATATATTGGGGTAACGCCCTGAATCTAATAATTTCTTATCTGAGCCATAAACAACAAGCAACTATGATTACTAGAATGTGTAAAATGGAGATAAAAGAACGATCCTTTCTGTCCGGGTATAGAGAAATTAAGTACGGTGTTCCTCAGGGAAGCGTCTTGGGACCCCTGTTGTTTCTAATTTATATCAACGATTTCCCAGGAGCTGTTACCTCTCCAATGATTCTTTTCGCTGACGATAGCACTGTCATATTTTCTGATAAAAACCATGATAAATTGAAACACAGCATAACCGAACACCTAACAAATATAGTTGATTGGCTAACAAGCAATAACCTTATTATTAATTTGGAAAAATCCAGTCTAATGCTATTTAGAAACAGAACTCGACCTGCTTTGAATTTTGAAATCGAGTTCTCAGGTAAAAAAATAAAAGAGGTTGACTTTGCAAGGTTCCTTGGCCTAGATGTTGATTGCAACCTAAATTGGAAGGTACATATTGAAAATCTATGCTCCAAACTTAGTAAAAGCTCGTATGCTCTGTACATGTTATCAAAAACAGCTAATACATCTACGGTTGTAACAGCATATCATGCATATGCAGAATCATTAATGCGCTATGGTATAATCTTTTGGGGAAACTCTACTAACTGGGAGTATGTTTTTAAAGCACAAAAGCAATGTATTAGAGCCATTTATAGACTTAAGACTACTGACAGCTGTAAACCAATTTTTAAAAGT